AAATGAACAAGGAGAATAAGACCAGTTGTTCCAGAAGACAAAGCGTCTTCTGTTTCATCGATGACACCCGCTATGTAAATATTTGTCAGTCCAAGTAGGCAATATCACGTTCTCGTATGAGAACAAGGTATACAACAGGCAAACTAACGAGCACTGAACATGTCCAGCTTCATATCTCAATGAGATCACTATGGCGACCATAAAACTTCCGAAATTTTGGACGTCCTTTGTTACGAGTTTGTCCGTCAGTTGATAACTTCTTGCCCGAAATTCATGATCGTGGGAAAAGGCCGTTGAATATCGAATCAAATGCGACCTGCAAACACCATAGGATGGCAATACAGTAATATTGCTATCAAAAAGGGAAAATTCACAATAATGAAACTGAAATCATCACGTTTATCATATAACTATTGGAAAACTGTTCATGTCGGTATCGTTGGACGTAGTCAATATAATAAACAGAGGCGTAGCAATAATGTATGCTTGTATGCTTAAACATAGACTCGAATTCCATTGAGATATATTTGCCCTACTTTTTTAACCTTACTGCGCCCCTAGACCCCCTTAACCGGGACTTCGCCCTTGGATCCTCTCTTGAAAGCATACACTCTTAAAAATGTTTTGCTACGCCACTGATAAATAATGCCAAGACGTCATTAATACACCTGAAAGTGAAATTAAAAGACTTTGCAAGGTCTTTGTGACATGTTTTGATAAGCTCTTCAGTAAATTCAGTCTCCAAAACAAAAATTTGTCAACAACAGGGCGAACTTACTTCCCATAGATATGCCAATAATGAATTGGAATATTTTACAACCAAACTCGATGAAGGTGTTGTCAATCAGAAAGTCGATCATCTTTATGATTTCGTCCAACGTATATTTCTTCTTTGATTTTTTTTTAACGAAATACGCTTCAGTATAGTTCATAACCATATATTTTTACCGCTGTTCAGCTCTTTCTTTGAGAGGAAAACTCTCATAACAAGAGAACGAAAGTGCTCCTTCAGTTTAGAATGGGTTAAGTGTTGTACAGGATGGAACAATCAATGTCATGGTTAAGTGTTGTACAGGATGGAACAATCAATGTCATGGTTAAGTGTTGTACAGGATTGAACAATCAATGTCATGGTTTAGTGTTGTACAGGATGGAACAATCAATGTCATGGTTAAGTGTTGTACAGGATGGAACAATCAATGTCATGGTTAAGTGTTGTACAGGATGGAACAATCAATGTCATGGTTAAGTGTTGTACAGGATTGAACAATCAATGTCATGGTTTAGTGTTGTACAGGATGGAACAATCAATGTCATGGTTAAGTGTTGTACAGGATGGAACAATCAATGTCATGGTGAAGTGTTGTACAGGATGGTACAATCAATGTCATGGTTAAGTGTTGTACAGGATGGAACAATCAATGTCATGGTTAAGTGTTGTACAGGATGGAACAATCAATGTCATGGTGAAGTGTTGTACAGGATGGTACAATCAATGTCATGGTTTAGTGTTGTACAGGATGGAACAATCAATGTCATGGTTTAGTGTTGTACAGGATGGTACAATCAATGTCATGGTTTAGTGTTGTACAGGATGGAACAATCAATGTCATGGTTAAGTGTTGTACAGGATGGAACAATCAATGTCATGGTTAAGTGTTGTACAGGATGGAACAATCAATGTCATGGTTTAGTTTAGTGTTGTACAGGATGGTACAATCAATGTCATGGTTAAGTGTTGTACAGGACGGAACAATCAATGTCATGGTTAAGTGTTGTACAGGATGGAACAATCAATGTCATGGTTTAGTGTTGTACAGGATGGAACAATCAATGTCATGGTTAAGTGTTGTACAGGATGGAACAATCATGGTTTATGTCATGGTTAAGTGTTGTACAGGATGGAACAACAATCAATGTCATGGAACAATTAGTGTTGTACAGGATGGAACAATCAATGTCATGGTTTAGTGTTGTACAGGATGGAACAATCAATGTCATGGTTAAGTGTTGTACAGGAAGGAACAATCAATGTAATGGTTTAGTGTTGTACATGATGGAACAATCAATGTCATGGTGAAGAGTTGTCATGGTTTAGTGTTGTACAGGATGGAACAATCAATGTCATGGTTTAGTGTTGTACAGGATGGAACAATCAATGTCATGGTTAAGTGTTGTACAGGATGGAACAATCAATGTCATGGTTTAGTGTTGTACAGGATGGAACAATCAATGTCATGGTTAAGTATTGTACAGGATGGAACAATCAATGTCATGGTTAAGTGTTGTACAGGATGGAACAATTAATGTCATGGTTTAGTGTTGTACAGGATGGAACAATCAATGTCATGGTTTAGTGTTGTACAGGATGGAACAATCAATGTCATGGTTAAGTGTTGTACAGGATGGAACAATCAATGTCATGGTTTAGTGTTGTACAGGATGGTACAATTAACTGTCATGTTTAACCAGTATTTAGTCTTTTATAAGATTATATAACGTTTAGGTGGCATTTTCTTTGGTTTCAAACAAGCTCAGTTCTTTCCAGGAAAGCAATAATATTTGCAGACAAGGATCAAATTATTGGACGCCTTATCTGTAGGCACAAAAACATACCGGCCATGTTGAAGTGTAACAACCTGATTGAAGAATGCTGACCTGAGTTTTGTTTTCAGTTTAGATTTCAAGCAGAACTTTTTTTTAGGAATGATGGACCGATTGGACTTAACCCCCTCAAATCGTAAGCCCAACGCAGTATGTTCTCGTTTCACCCATTTTGTCGCATTGTTTGCAACAGAATCCATAAGTATCTTGAAATTCATATTCCAATGAACGGACGGCATTTCACGATATTTAGGACCATTCATGTCGTAGCTTAACACTTTGAGTAATACTTAAATCACCAATTACTATGTACTTTTAAATAGAGGAACAAGCTGACAAAGGACTAATTCTAAGGTCATTTTCATTCAATTGCTGCAGGGTGTGTTTGTAGTTACAGAGGTGTTTCTGATTTGAAGGTATGGTGGAATGTTAATCCATGAAGGTCTTCAAAAAAGAAATGATATAAGTTTTTCTTTTACTTTTTGGTCTTAGATTACTAGAACCAGCTAATAGATTCATTACAACAAAGATCTTTTCACTTAAAAAAAACTTTATTTCATCGGTGTCTTATCGTTCGTCAAGGTATTTTCAAAGGGACCCACTAATGAAATGAATTAACATCAACGTTCATTCTTTAGTCATGTGACATTTGTGGCAACAAACTATATTCATATTAATATGTACCAAACAAAAAACAATTTTACAGAATGAATATAAACCTTTAATAAACCTTTAGAGGAAACTATGGAAACATGTGTTGCACGTAACTGCCTGATTTAACCCAAATGTGACAGTAATGAAATGGAAAAAATGAATTTTCCATTTCTTCAAGTTCGATGAATTCGGATAAGTAATTTCAATGAGCTATATCCAAACACCAATTACCAGAAAAAAATATCTTGAATCTATGAGTGTTATTTTTACAGATCGTCAAAGCTCCGATTTGAAACAATATACAATCCAGTGTGATCAGATGTAACCTAAATCCTATCCTTGAAAATTGGTACAAACGTGCGCTGATATCGAAAAATTGAAGAATCAAATTGGACTAAAATGTTAAGTGCTTATGCTTTCAACATTGTATTTTCGAGAAAAAAAATAGCTGATTCTTAAATTGGCGTCTAAAGACGTAAGACGTTTCACCCAAGTTCGTCGAATTCTTGGGGTCGTATGTTCGATCTCGGAAACTGATATCATGGAATTATTTTGGGATTTTGTTACGTTTTCAATACACATTTTTAATAAACCGATTATATTGGTGAGCAATCTCTCATTAAAATTATTCATATTCATATGCATTATAGCAATTACTGATCAAAACTCTTTTTTCTTTAGTGAGAATGCATGCAGCCGATACGTTACACGATAGTGCTAGTGACATAGAATCCTACTTGATAGTGTTGGAGATACGATAGAATGTCACCTCAATGTTCAATCTTTAGGATTAAAAAAGGTCACTTTTCAAGGAGTAATCCAGCCATTGAAGCAATCTTTTGTTTTGCCCTTTCTTGTAAATTTCCCAGCTTTAATCGTAACACCGACATACACGGTTAACACTCCAATTGCCGGACGTACATGTTCGATATTTAAGACAGGGTGACTCCGAATGCATGTTCACCTGTCGTCATCAGTCATGTATTTTAAGATCGACCAAGACGATGAACTGAATTAGGTGCTCCGTCACGACATAACGCCATAGCACTTTCCTTTTTAACTATAATATTAAATATAGATGCAACATATGTACCTGTTAGCTATATATAGCCATAATCAGTAATGTGAACATTAATGGAACTAGGATTTTAGCCCCTTATTCCAATATATGATCTAAGTCTATTACACAAGCAACAGATCGTTTTTTATCTAGAGATGATTTTCTTATGGAGCTCTTTGATTACACACGTGAGAAATTAATCAGTATTTTATTTTTCATATTGCATGTATTCCTTATCATCTTAATATTCACATTGTTTTCATCGACTCAATTATTTAATATTTACTTTGAAAACAATCAAATTAAGTGATGCATTGTCAAAGATATGATGGTTGTTATAATTTGTCACTCTCGATGTCAGTGTCATTACTAGATGTGGTTCCATCGCATCATCCGCAATGCATTTCAATGTTTCAGTTATCCTATACCCCTTCCCGATTTCCACACTTCGTTATAATGAATCAATGCAGCACATACATCCACTCACACATAGAAACGCGCTTCACCAATGTATCCTTCCCCCTTCATCTGACTCTTGAATTGCTGATAAGATGTTACGACAGATACATGGCTTAACTGGGTCGTGCTTATGTTCAGATGTCAAAGGCTTGAGTCTGACGTATTAAGTTATATAAAATACATATTTGATTTCAGGTTCTTATGGATAATTGCGTTGCTGTGTATGGGTGGCCTGCTGATCTACACGTGTGTTGACCTATTTGACAAGTACGTTCAACATACAACGATGGCAAACATCAAAGTGGAACTTGTCAATGAGCTGCCATTCCCAGCCATCACTTTCTGTAATCTGTCACCATACAAGAAATCATCACTGAACCCTGACGCTGTCATGGATCACTTCCTTCTGACTGTGAGCAGGATGAAAGATTTTGTACCTCCAATAGACTATGACCACCCAGGATACAGTAGCCTGTCACACCCCCTACCGGACGGATGGCTCCTTAACGTTTCTTTCTCTGTCGCGGACTTATATTACGCATGCGTCAATACGACAAATCAACGAATGAATTGTGAGGATGTTCTCACTCCAACAATAACTGACATTGGGTTGTGTTATACCTATAACAGTCAAAATGTTGGAGGGAATGATCCACTGGTCACGAGCTTAACCGGAAGTGCCAAGTCATTGGCGTTTTACATCAATGTAAACCAGAACGAGTACGTTTACAGCGATAACCTTGCGGCTGGAATGAAGGTATTATTGTATAGACATTGGTGTTGTACTTCTTAAAAGGAAAGGGGGAAACAACAAACGTGACACATGTGACACGTGATTACGTTCGAGTGAGGATGACGACTACATCTAGGTTAGGCTACAGTTAGAAGGACATACAACATGTCATGAGGGATAAATACTCTTATTTAGGTTAGGAATATAAAGATATAGTGACAGTCTGAATCGGTCGACAGTTTGAAGCTACGATTGTGACAAAAGTGAATCAAGTTTAGATATGTAAGTTGAGAATCATTTGGTTCTAGGCACGCTTTTGTTTTAAAGTTTGTAAATATGATAAATGATTTTGATGCTAGAAAACAAAACGAAAAAAGATCACGTGTCCAAGATTGAATTGTTTAGTCTTTAAATGAATAGTGATGAGGTCACTCATAACTCGTAATTCTATCAAACACGCAGTAATATATTTCCATGTTGGTAGAAAGAGGGGTCAAACAATAATTCAACCAAGTGTATATTACTCGTACAAAAAAATTGCATAAGAAGGCGAGTCATTCCCATTGCAATACTATGTGATATTATTTTACCAGATAATTGTCCATGATCCTAGAGAAATACCTGACACCAACAGCGGTTTCTTCGCCTCCCCGGGTTTCTCGGTTTACGCCTCTCTCACTCTTACCAAGGTAGGTCACAAGTATCAACTTTTGTCTCTTTTAGCCAAAGTCAGTTTCCAGATTTGTATCGTTCATAAGAAATGTGACGCAATAGTTTTCAATTAAGACAATATAGAAAATTTCAATATATAATTTGTGACAATGTATTACATTATACAATGTACTAAAGCGAAACAACAAGAGTAACCAGTTGGTGTTTGGTTGGAAGTTGACCTGGTGACAATTAATCGAGTCATGTTGTTAGTTAAAGCATCGTAAATGTCTCCCAATCCCAAGGAACTAACCATAACATATAATAAAACCAAACACATCCCATAGCAGATATAGCATTTGTACTTTATTATCTGATGAGTTTTTCAAACATCACATGACTAAGGCATTTATTGGCAAGAATAATTATAAAGACATTATAACAAAAATGAAAAATAATGATAATAAAAAGGAAATACCAATATGTCAATACAATCATAATCCAAACTCGAATTCAATAAATCTAGGGGAAGATATAAACAAAGTTTTACACGGAAATTACTGAAAAAATACAGAAGAATTAGATCAGGTGCTTCTGAAGAGTAAGCGTCTTCTGCTTCGTCGACGTCACTCGTCATGTAAACCATGGCCAATTCAAGTACGTTCACGTAATGTGACGTTCTCAAATGAGAACAAGGTACATGTATTTAATAACGGAACCAATAGGCAAATTAACGAACATCAAACACGTCCAGATTCATATCACACAGAGAAATAGAATAGAATAAAAAAACCCTGTGTTACAAGTTTGGCCGTCAGTTGACGACTTCTTGCACGAAAATTGTGATAATAGTCCGTTGACTATCGAATAAACAATTACTTTATAAAAGAAAGATGAAGGAAAATATGCATATACATGTATTTCCAATTGTATTCAATGTTCATGAAAAATCCTTCTATTTGCAGTATAAGTATTTACCGTTTCCATACCCGTCCGCTAGAGGTCGCTACTGCCTGGATACAGAAGCTCCCGGTTTTCAGAATCCTTTGAATTACCATGACATGTATAGTATCTATGCGTGTATTCAGGAGTGTAAATATCACTACCTGGTTAAGCTGTGTGGATGTCAGGCTCCTACAGATACAGGTAAGGTTAACGATAACACGTCCCAACCAGGATAATACGGATATCATGCTCCTCCAGATACAGGTGAGGTTAACAATAACATGTCCCAACCAGGAGTATTCGGATATCAGGCTTCTCCAGATACAGGTAGTGTTACGATTGCACGTCCCAACGAGGAGTATGCGGATATCATGCTCTCCCAAAGATACAGGTAAGGTTAACGATAACACAACCCAACCAGGATAATACGGATATCATGCTCCTCCAGGTACAGGTAAGGTTAACGATAACACGCCCCAACCAGGGTAATACGGATATCAGGCTCCTACAGGTACAGGTAAGGTTAACGATTACACGTCCCAACCAGGATAATACGGATATCAGGCTCCTACAGATACAGGTAAGGTTAACGATAACACGTCCCAACCAGGATAATACGGATATCATGCTCCTCCAGGTACAGGTAAGGTGGACGATAACACGTCCCAACCAGGATAATGCGGATATCAGGCTCCTACAGATACAGGTAAGGTTAACGATAACACGTCCCAACCAGGATAATACGGATATCATGCTCCTCCAGGTACAGGTAAGGTGGACGATAACACGTCCCAACCAGGATAATACGGATATCAGGCTCCTATAGATACAGGTAAGGTTAACGATAACACGTCCCAACCAGGATAATACGGATATCATGCTCCTCCAGGTACAGGTAAGGTTAACGATAACACGTCCCAACCAGGATAATACGGATATCAGGCTCCTACATGTCCAAATCAAGAAAATAAATCAAGAATATTTAGAATACAGAATTTAAAATAGAATACTGTTTGTCAATTGTACTACAAATTTAGAAATAAGGTTTACATTAATATATATATACATATATATGTGTGTGTGTGTGTGTGTGTGTGTGTGTGTGTGTGTGTGTGTGTGTGTGTGTGTGTGTGTGTGTGGCATTGCTTCGTTGTGTGCTGCATTTTATGATCAATTAATAGGTGTTTTATCAAGAGTGACATTACTTTGTATACGTCCTTATTTTATCACGAGTGACATTACTTTTTATACCTCCTTATTTTATCCCGAGTGACAATACTTTGTATACCTCCTTACATAACATTGACATTTTATCCGAGTGACATTAGGTCCAGAGAGGACGTTACTTTGTATACCTCCTTATTTTATCACGAGTGACATTACTTTGTATACCTCCTTATTTTATCACGAGTGACATTACTTTGTATACCTCCTTATTTTATCACGAGTGACATTACTTTGTATACCTCCTTATTTTATCATGTGACATTACTTTGTATACCTCCTTATTTTATCACGAGTGACATTACTTTGTATACCTCCTTATTTTATCACGAGTGACATTACTTTGTATACCTCCTTATTTTATCACGAGTGACATTACTTTGTAATTCTTATTTTAAGTGACAATTTGTATGCGCCATGGAAATGAGTGAACACAATGTATATATTTTATCACGGGTGAAAATATTTATTTTATCAGGAATACATTACGTTTCCTGAAATTCTTTTAGAAATAATGAATTTTATCCCGAGTGACATTACTTTGTATACCTCCTTACATAACATTGACATTTTCCACAGGTCCAGAGAGGACGTGTACATTTCGGGAGTACGCTGAATGTTACCGCAATACCAGTCGAGGTAGGTACAAGCTCTGGGGAATGTCACGCTACGTGAGCTTATTCTGGACTATTAAACATAGACTTGTGTATAGAACAAATAGAATAGGATTCAGGAAGTAAGATGATATTGAAGACGATAATTAAGAGGATAATTCAAGGCAATTTGTATGCGCCATGGAAATGAGGAACACAATGTATATAGTAAAATATTTAAGTAAGGAATAAGACGTTTCCTGAAATTCTGGTTTAGAAATAATGAATGGGATGGAGACAAGAACCTAACCGATAGATCGACAGTGAGGAGAGTGCTGTAGTAATCATATCAATGTCTTATCCTGTCGAATGTATACACGTTTATATAAACAATAGATCGACAGTGAGGAGAGTGCTGTAGTAATCATATACACGTTTATATAACCGATAGATCGACAGTGAGGAGAGTGCTGTAGTAATCATATCAATGTCTTATCCTGTCGAATGTATGCACGTTGATATAGTTGGTCATTAGAATGACGTTATTGGTTCAATCTGGCCATAACAGATATTTTCATTGATTACCTAGGCGATTACTTACATAGTATAGCCTTCCAGGAAACTTGCATGTGTGACTCCCCATGTGAGTTCAATGTGTACGGCGCATCAGCTTCAACAGCGTACTTTCCCTCCAATCTTAACGAGATCTTTTTGAACAATGCAGGGTTCGAGAATTTAAGGTGAGTAAATGACTGGTCTTATTCAGATATCAACTGATATATGGGCCTGCAGCTGAGAAAATTACCCTTAGGACATACAAAAATGGAAACCATGTTTTTAATGATTCTGAAAGACAAATCGGTATTAATTAAAAAACAGAAGAGATTTTTTTTAATAATTTAATTATTAGTAAATTGACAGCTGTTTGAAAATAGGTTGTGTAAAGATTACTTCTTCATTTTATGACAATGCAATTCACAAAAGAAATTGACGTCCCTTTGTGAAACGTGATGTCATCATCACACTTTGCTTCCAGCAAACACAAGTTTGTCTGCTGAACCAGCTTACTAGCAGGTGCAACTTTTTCAGACCACAAGCTTTTAAATGAAATTTGATTTTAATAAATACATGTATTAATTCTACTTTGTGTGACACAATAAAAACTCAGAACAATAACGTGCAATCAACGGTTTCTTTTAGTATTCGTGCGTAATGTAATTACCCAAATCATCTTTTTCTTATCTTATTTTTGGCAATATTTTGTTACACAAACAGAATAATAAAAAGTTATATAGTAAACAAGACATACTCAGACTTGCACATCAAAACACTTGGATATAACAGTGCATCATCATTTCATAAATTTATTTTCATCATCAACATCATGAAGAAGGCATCAATACAACATCATCACTGTGAAATAGAAACAAACGTATATTTAAAACTTTTAAGCAACAAATATTATATGTTCTGCTCTTCAAAATATCGACATTGCATTCATTCTTTTCATTTCGTGTACGGTTTATGGTATATTTAGTCATGACAACAAATTAATTATTATTTTTAAATCTATAATTTTCTTCTGTGTGCTTACAGTACCGTTTTGAGTGCTTGAGTTTCAATTATATATATATTTCGTCCGTGTTTCTGAAAGTGTTTTGAATGTTAATTAACTAGCAGATTCTTTCGTCTACTTTTTAAATTTCACTTAAACTGTGTTATTTGTGATTATAAAGAATCAAGCAAAGAAATGATATGGAATATATAAGCAACCAGAGAAGACAATAATAATAATCATGACAGAAAAAAAGACATGACATATGACAAAAGCGGATAACTTCAGTAAATATAGGTTGAAGGTGTAAACCCCTACAGGGGAATTCCTCTTGACACTATCACCACGATTTCTTCACGAAGCTGAACAAGTCCTTAGCTACTGAATATTTATTAAAAAACAAACTTTGGCTAGGATGTAACACAGATTTGCTTTCTTTTAAATAACAGGACAGATTACATGGAGGTGCGCTTCTTCTTTGACACTCTTAGTTACCTAAACGTGGAATACATCCCTGAATACAGCATAGAAACCATTATAGGTATGTTTTTGTCACAGCTACTCGAATCTTAACTTGTGAAACGACGTGATCTGTAGAAAATTCAAATTGGCTAAATGTTTATAGTTTACGTGCACAGCAACTTTTCCTTTACTTTTCTTCTGATCACTACGGAGTTTCCGCGGTCGCCTCCTAGCTTCAAAATCTAGGCCCTTTGCATCACTAATGAGTTCCAGATGGACGAAAGAGCTGGTGTGACGCAGTTTAATTCATTATTTGGCTTTACTTTCCTGTATTTAAATTTAAATCTACATTATAAGGTGCTGCTCAGTTGAGTTTCTTTTGTACAATATTCTTATCAAATAAAATGCATGTATGTGTGGTATATTTACAGCGACTCTAGGGGGCCAGATGGGGATATTCTTGGGCGCCAGTCTACTGACACTTTCGGAACTGGTAGAATTCCTGATGATGGCCGCCCTTTTAGCGTGCAAGAGAGCATTCCAAAGAAGACGGAAGTGACTGTTGAGAATAATCATATTTATCATTTTACTAACGCTGCAATGTTTTACACTAAAATCTGAATGACGTTTATGATTATGTATGTGTGTAACTAACGTATGTTTGTACTTTATATATCAGGATAAGAAAAAATGCCTTGAGGCCATCGCTTTCATTGTGAATTTTGATAAAACACGACATACCTGATGTAATGATTGTTTTAGCATAGTTATTTCACACATTAACACTAGCCCTGTCAGAACACCTTGCGCGGTCTTCTGTGGCCTCTTCTTTAATTTTTGTTTAAATCGTTTAAGAGTCATTATTTTTGTGTTCGATACATTATGTTTGTTTACACTTTCGTGTCCGATGATTTTTACCATAGCATTATAGTAATCAGCATCATTAGTCCGAAACAAAATATAAATTCATAATATAGAAATATTTGAAAGTAAACAAATATTGCGTATGCTTTGTTCGGTTCTACATACACTAATACATTTATATACAAACCAAATAAACCACGATGTACTATAAATACTATTTGTATATAGAGCATACATTCTTAAGCAAGTACAAGTCTTGGAAAACCAAGGTTTATGGTTGTGAAAAATAAATTGTAAGTTAATCAATAAATGATCTCGTTCTCGTGTTTTTTCTCTCGAAAAATCTTACTTGTAAACAAAATGCAAGATTTAGCGATTCCTGTGTATGGTACAGTCGATTATGTCGATAAAGATTATATATTGGGTAAAAGGAAAAGCTTGTGAAACCCACAGATTGTAGTTTTACGGCCACGAAATCGGATCTGTTTGATCTTAAAGTCACGAATTGATTTTCAGTCGTTTTTGCGGGAATCAGAGAATTACAAGTTGTTCCGTACTGTTAGATTTAATATGATTCCTCAGAGATGTACTAGAATTACCAGAAACATCATGTGGGTGTGATTTTGAAGTGTAGCTCAAGATATTATGCATATCGGAACGCTGGCGGGATCGGAAAATGTCACAAAAATATCGAATAAATTTCCAATTCGATAAAACTATGGCAATATATATCATACCAAGAGGATATTGTTGAGGTTTATAAATGGCGTTGTCCGTGATATCAGTTCCAATATGAATTCATTCGCTGATTCTGGACGTTGATATACATTTTCGTCAGCCGCCTCCTGGTTTCCAACAACTGTGGTCCCAAGCATTACTTGCGAAACTGTTGTGTGATGCAGATTAATTCATTACTTCGCTCTGATTCTGAATTGGTATAGAAAGGTATTTTTAATTTGAATGTCATTCTGTGTGATTGCGAGGGGTATACACTGCCGGTAATGTATATTTCTACAGAGGAGTATCCACTGCCGGAAATGTATATTTCTCCCCAAGGGGTACCACTGCCGGTAATGTATATTTCTCCCCGAGGGGTTTACACTGCCGGTAATGTATATTTCTCCCCGAGGGGTATACACTGCCGGTAATGTATATTTCTCCCCGAGGGGTATACACTGCCGGTAATGTATATTTCTCCCCGAGGGGTATACACTGCCGGTAACGTGTATTTCTCCCCGAGGGGTATCGGTATCCACTGCCGGTAACGTATATTTCTCCCCGAGGGGTATACACTGCCGGTAATGTATATTTCTCCCCGAGGGGTATACACTGCCGGTAATGTATATTTCTCCCCGAGGGGTATACACTGCCGGTAATGTATATTTCTCCCCGAGGGGTATACACTGCCGGTAACGTGTATTTTTCCCCGAGGGGTTTACACTGCCGGTAATGTATATTTCTCCCCGAGGGGTATACACTGCCGGTAACGTGTATTTCTCCCCGAGGGGTATACACAGCCGGTAATGTATATTTCTCCCCGAGGGGTATACACTGCCGGTAATGTATATTTCTCCCCGAGGGGTATTCACACCCGGTAATGTATATTTCTCCCCCAGGGGTATACACTGCCGGAAACGTATATTTTTCCCCGAGGGGTTTACACTGCCGGTAACGTATATTTCTCCCCGAGGGTATACACTGCCGGTAATGTATATTTCTCCCCGAGGGGTATACACTGCCGGTAATGTATATTTCTCCTCGGAGTTTGTTTTAATCTGCCATGTTTTAAATCATTCGGATAGAAGGTACAGACTATGTACACGTACATCCAGTACTGTATTCTGTGAATTTATTGGATTTCCGGGCGTGCACCTGCGCATCTGACGGAAGTGCACTGCCACAAATATATTAGTATCCCGGTTTTCCGGCTACCCCTAGATAGCTAAATGAAAAGACTGTGTGCGTGTCATGAAATGATAGGCCATGTGATGTTATACTTTTTTGATTAAAAAAGCTACATTGAGAGCCCCCTGCATGTACCGGCATTTCTCTCTCTCTCTTTTTAAAATTAGGACATCAAAGTTACCACGGAAGCGAGTTTGTTTGTATATACTTCATCAAGATAATTCACTCAATGTGTGTCTTTGTAATAATATACACCCATACTCTGAAACCTAGAGGTTTCGCTACTTTGTCTCGGTCGGAACGAAAGCATATTCAGATGTAAGCAGGCGGGTCATTGTTTTTAACACACCCTTTAATTTTGATAAAACCACTAGCACCTTAAAAGTTATGTGGCAACAACCAATCATGGGACTCTCATTGTAAAAGCTTGTTCATAGATAACTGAAAACATATACATGTATGTACACAACATATTGACGTGTTCCTCTTTATTTTAAAAGTTTTCACGAATCTCTCTTATTTTAAGTCACTTATCGGTTCAAATATTCACGCTATGTTTACATTTTTTCTAGATATGGAAGAGATGCATCGCATATACAAAAGGTGTACGTTTCCTGGTCAAATCATTTTTTCATTGTGCATCTTCTAGAGTTATCGTTCTTAGAGTACCTTGCTCTTCCGTTGCGGTGGCGCTTGTGTTAGTTTACATCCGGAAAGGTACACGTTGAACGGAAACCAGTGTCATGTCACGTCAAAACAACATCAAATTAATTTTATAGTAACTGAAATATGTCCCAGTCAAATTGAAATTATTATAAGCAATCCTAACAAGGTTAGTAGACCATAAGCAAAGATGACAGCCGGAGGGGACATAGGGGTCGGTTCCAGACACCCTGTGAAGATTTTCGCCAATATTTTCATTTCGTTTATTGGCGCTGGTGTTCTCGGACTGCCTTTCGCTTTTAAGGAGGTAGGTAACTATGTATAGCTACTATGTCTAGGTTTTCTGTTCATATTATGTAATGCCAACAAAATCCTCTTATTGTATCTAGACGGACAGTTCAGGTCCTACAGGTCAGAACCACCAGGTATGAAAAAATTCTTTTCCGTTTCCATGCATCACAGGTGTGAAACAGCCTTTCGAATGACATTCGACAGTTCGAGGCCTTCCCTGTCTTTCGTAGAATGTTGAACACCGAGGAGGGCTCGTTTTATGGATATAGTATTTGTATTTGATTGTCTGTGATTGTATGTCATGTACATTTGTCCTAGACCTAAATTGCTGTCTTCAAAATGAAAATTTGATGTCATTATTCACAAGTGGTCTGAAAAGATTAGTGAGGCCAATCAACTTGTTTTGTTTTGAAATGAACCCAAGATTTCTGCGTATGTTAACGTTGTGGGAATAATTGTTTGATTCACTGTATCCATGGTGTATGCGGGTCTACCACTTTTAGGCAATTTCATACTTACTCTAGGTTTTCTCCATCCTTTAGAAAATCTTTGTCACAGTTCTTTGGCTCGAGTGTATAGCAAACTTCAACACTTTCATAGCCAGGGCTATAATTAGTTAAAACACAAAAATGGCACAAATATATCAAAAGTGTGGTAATCTCTTTTAAGATTCATCCTTGGGATTCATTTATATAGGACGTTTGACAATGTTCCTAGTAGGAATACCTTGTCAGGCCTTATTAACTCTATTATGGAAATAAAGTAAGGTGGACCTACATCCTCTCCTGTTATCTCACACATGGCATGGCTGTACTGACTGGGTAGAAAACTTGGTAAAGCCACACTGACTTTAAAAGAAAGTGCAACAACTTTCAAAGAGTTTGGACACAATCAGTAGATGTGCTGATTAGATAAATTGTTCACGATCAGAAAACTTTTACAGAGTATAATCAAGACCAGGATATACAAAATACTCTTGAACACAATTCATTAAGGGACAGCTTGAAATTGATTTATAATATGTAAATTGATTAAAGATTTTAATGAAACAATAATATTGGTATTGTTTAAAATTTTCACTGCAGTATGCACAGCAGGTTACTAGGCAATATTGAAATGAGCTATAGCCACTAAATATGTAGAAAGCCTTCGTCACATGACGTCATACATGAGTATTTCAAAATGACTGGTCAACTGAAGTGGACTGACAGAATTGGTCTTGTAAAAAAATAATAATTTTGGATATATAGCGAGTGTAATGAGAATATTGTTGCATTTCTAGGATGTTGTGCGTGAATATGGAAATGCATGCAATCATATTTTCATGCGAGACATCATCTATTGCCAGGGTTGTTTATTATGAACTAAAGTGATTGTGGAAATGATTCTTTTGGATATGTTCTATGGTAATGTAACAAATAGTTTTATGCTCCACAGATATATAGCTGTTACTGAGGTCATTACTAATATCAATGTTCAGTGATAAGATTCAAACCTTGGAGCTCTGGTGTATGATTACCAGTCTTACACTCAACTGATCAAGATAAAGAGAAGTTTTCTCTAGCTGAGCAGCGTATTGTGGCTACTGTTCACCAATGTTACAACATTAAACATGTAATATTTGCCTTCTTTTTCAGGCTGGCATCTTAGAAGGGGTCTTTGTGATGACCACTGTTGGAGTGCTGAGGTAATATTGCCATGTTCTTTACATCAAATATATTTTGTTAAGTCTGTGTGATGGTTAAGAGTATTTACAAAAAAGTCTGTATTTAGCATTGCACACAATTGTATATAACAAAACAACAATAGCACTGTGTTAGTTGCTATGCTTGTGTTTACAAACATATGGTAAAAACAATCTCAGCATTTAGATATCAGAATTAGGAGACACAGGTAAATTCATTCAAATTCATAGTTATGAAGATTTTCATAATTATCAAGTATAAACATTTTGCTACTCTTAGTAATGATGATGATGATGATAATGAATGTTTTAGTGTAAAGGCTATGATGCTGATTGTGGACTGTAAGTACAAGCTTCTACAAGACAAAAAAGTGGAAGAACATCGTGACAGCAAGCACAGAAAATACAAAGAAAAGGAAGTGAATGATGATGGACTGGCAGAAAAAGTGGAAATTGTCAACCTACTGAGTGGAGATCAAGAGATACTACCACAGGTACTGTATAAGCTCGTTAATCCCAGGTAGTCTATTGTTTTTTAATATTTGTATGGGAAATAATTCTTGTGATATGAGATATACTGAAAATGAACATTGTTCATATTTGTATCATTAACAAATTTACATAGTTATACATTGATAATATAAAAAATGTGCTAAATTTTGTTAATTTGATAATGAGATCATTATATTGTTCAAATCGTATTAGACTTAAGATGAAAAGTGCAGTGCTGCATGGTTTTAAACAGATGACCATGTATTGAGCATGCATATTGCATCAAAACAATGTAGCAAATATATTACATACATTTGTATTAAATTTTAAGGAAAGAAAACTAACTTTATGAATTCTGTGTGGCTTCATTTTGTTGACATGATAATAGTTTGTTTCAATGTAAATTTGTTGTACAGACTACAGAATACAAGCCAGAAATGTCTTATGGTGATGTAGGTAAGGATACTCTATTTTTAATCATAGACATAGTTGTTATCAGAATGTAATTTTATAAATATTACAATAAAAATCTCGCCTACATTTGAAATGAAAACATACTTCATGCTGTTTTTGCATGTATGTCATAATTTTTTTCTATGTATACAAGGACAAAGATTTGTGAGATAAATGGTAAGGATTTCAGGAAATAGAAGTAGTTTCTAGTTTGTGAACTTCCAAATCTTCAGTTTTAAGTTTATGTTGTGATTTATCTTCAAAAGCCATTGTAAAATTTTGAGAATGTCAGCTTACTTTTAACAAATTTATTAAGTTTTACATATATCTATCACTTGTATTTGTTTCAGGATATTATGCCCTTGGACATACAGGAAGGGTTCTTGTTGATGTAGCCATTCTAGTTTCTCAGACTGGTAGGTTCAGAGATTGTCAGGTGAAGAAGTTAACATAAATTTAACATTAATATTTACTTGGATATTTTTATCTTTACTTCCTGTTATTTATACTTCTACAATTTGTTGAAAACGTTTTCATTAAATGTTGACATATTTTTGAGAAATGTCTTGTATCACATTGAAAAAGCTCCTTTTACAAAGGCAAGGGAATTTTTAAGTGAAAAATAGGTGGTGAAATTGTCCCTCCAAAACTCTGGTCATTTGTTTGAGATTTTAATGTTTGAACATGTAACAGTAATTTATGATCATTCCAAACTATGATTTTTTTGTCTCTGAAACTATTTGTAAATCAGAACTTAAGATATTTAAGTAAATTTGCTTCAAAGAGATATACAAAATACAATGAAATAAGCATGGCAAATCCAAATGGTACATGTAGGCATCCATGGTACAGCTGAAGTATTTGTATGCTGAGAACTGTATACAGAATTATTTTAAACATCAGTGGAATATTTGATATGAATATTAGATAGTTCATCATGATTGGGAAAAATATGAAATAAACTGTAATCCATTGTATGTGGTTAGATGTCTTCAGCATCATTGCCCATGCAGAGATAGGATTTACTTCTTATCTGTTCTTTACCTACTTTAATGTGAAGACCTCTGTAGAAGATTATTGGGTCTGTTGTCTGCCTTTCAGAATGTTTTTTTTTTCATTGTTTCAGGCTTCTGCTGTGCATATTTGATCTTCATCACAGAAAATTTATCTGACTACATGCGACACATGAGACTGTAAGTTGTGCAGGGATTAACAAAGATTAACGGTCATACATTAAGTATACTTGTTTTGTGTGCATTTTACATAAAAACTAGACAAACTGAGTTATTTTGTCAACTTATGGTAGACCTTGATAACATAACTTGTGTATGAAGCACAATGTTACCAACAGTAATGCAAGGATCATGAAACTTTGTGTGTACTTTGCTTACACTAAGGGGATGTGCAATGAACCATATTCAGGACCATAGACTCCTCAATTACAGAGTTATTGCCCTTTGTTAAATTTTCGTGTCTGTTACACAACTTATGAATACATGCATTTAAATAAGGAAATGAAACTTGAAGTTACATTGAAAATACTAAGTACCAAATTTGGGACCCTTGACCCCTCAGTTATAGAGTTATTGCCCTTTGTTAAAAATATATTGTCTAGAGCATATCTTTCTTGTCTTTAAGGTAGGATAATAAAACTGGTGTGTACATTGATCATACAAAGACAATGTGCAGTGTACCAGTGACAGGGCCCACAACCTCTTGTCATTTCCCATTTGAAGTATCATCTGGGTCCTAGTGTTTTTAGAGATGCTTGTTTATTTCCAATATCTGGTTCTGAGTATTGTTAAATTATTTATCCTGTTTATTTTTAGTGTCCACAGGTCACAGGCTCCTATTATTTATTTATAGTATCCATTCGCTCCTATTAAAATGATCTATCTTTATTTATAATTATCTGTGTCTATTTTTAGTATCCACTGGCTCTTGGTGTTGTTACCACCTCTTTGTCTCATGACATTCATCAGGCACTTGGGTAGTTTAGCCATCACCAGGTAAGCAACCTAAGTAACATATGATGTATATCACAAAGCTGCATGTAGTCTTATCAGGTGGTTTTTTTTTATAAAGTTTGCCACTTGTGTATTCAAAACCACCCTAAAATGTATCTATACTTTCGTCTCACCCTGTAAATGTTACTACCTCCTACTGGTATGTTTGTTGGTGTCTGTCTATGCAAATATGACTACCCCCTATGTTGCTGTTTTCCTGTTCCGCTCTAAACATGACTACCCTATTTGTCACTGTTTGCCATTCACTCTGCAAACATGACTACCCTCTTTGTCACTGTTTGCCATTCACTCTGTAAACATTACTACCCTCTTTGTCACTATTTGCCATTCCCTCTGTAAACATGACTACTCTCTTTGTCACTGTTTGCCATTCCCTCTGTAAACATGACTACTCTCTTTGTCACTGTTTGCCATTCCCTCTGTAAACATGACTACTCTCTTTGTCACTGTTTGCCATTCCTACTGTAAACATGACTACCCTTTTTGTCACTGTTTGCCATTCCCTCTGTAGATATGACTACCCTCTTTGTCACTGTTTGCCATTCCCTCTGTAAACATGACTACCCTCTTTGTCACTGTTTGCCATTCCCTCTGTAAACATGACTACCCTCTTTGTCACTGTTTGCCATTCCCTCTGTAGGTATGACTACCTTTATGTTTCTGTTACCTTGCTTTGTGTTAACATGGATCTCTCCTGTTTTTATTCACGGTGCTCTGGGTAAACATGATGAACCCTTAAATTCCACTTTGCCTCACCCCTGTAAATGTGGCAGATCCTAAGGTTGTGTTTCCTCACCCCCTGTCAGTCTAAAGTAAATTCACATTTACTTTTGCCTTTGGCCTGTAAACAGCCCTATATTTCCCTTCACTTCACCCTCTGTAAAATTGATGAACCTACCAATGTTTCTGTTAGCATGGCCACCTAATATCATGACATCCCTCTAAATTTTCCTTCATCTTTCCCTAGATAGATATGACAAATATTCTTGTTTTTTTATTTTAGTCTTTAAGTATTTCTATTTGACTTCGCCCCAGTAACATGAAAAAGTGCTTTATTTCTTTTGGATTACAGTAAAAACTTATTTTTACTTCACAGAGAAACATTCCCAATGGAAAAACTAAGAAATTTATTTTGAGATTTTTTTTTTCTGTCAGAAGGAAGTTTAAAGAAAATATATAAAGATAATAATAGTGATTGACACAGCATTATAGCTTTTTATATCCCTGAATGACTGCAGTGTCTGTTTTAATTCTATAATTTCCCTGCCTTACTGAGAACTATAACTGGTAAACACAGCATCTATCCCATAAAGTGATGTAAACTTAATTGGTTCTGGTTTTTTTTCAGTTTGATGGCCCAGTGTTCTAACCTTCTTGCCTTTGCTGTTGTTATATGGTTTGATTTTGATCATATCCACAAAATAGAGTGAGTATTTATATAACTTGGTGTTTGTATGTGGATTGCTAAGTTTGTTAAAAGGAAGAGGTATCATTCTATAACTTTAAAAATAATATTTCTTCATTTGATTGATTTGGCACAGTTGATTCAATGGAAGCAGTTCCTTTAGAATGGAATCTTGGTTGAGTTAAGATATCTTTAACTCCAAAAGACGATTAGGTCTGACTTTCATGTTACAATACCTGTTTTTTTCGCCAAAATTCAAATTCTGATACTGAATATTAAAGACACACATTTGATATGACTTAATTTTAATTTGTTCTAACTTAAAACATGTATTTGTAGATGCCAAGTTATGTGTCTGACTGCTTCAATTTTTTTTTTTATTTTGAAATGTGTGTATTTGAATTCTGATGTGGTAATGATCAGTGTTGTGTGAGTTTAGAGAATTTTCCTTTCTCAGTAGAAAGAAATTAGATATGTCTATGTAATGCTGTATAAATGATGTTGTTTGTACTTTTGTTGAACATGATCTTTTCTGTCCATATTCCTCTGTACTTATAACTTACCCAGAGACGAGTAAACTGTGTGCATGCTATAGATAATTAAACATTAGTCATTGTAACTAGGATGATAACTAAGATTTAGCACACCTAGACTCACTTATCTATCTAAATTTGTTAATTTGTCTTTTAACTGTTACATCAGTATGTAATTGACATATCATACATGATGAAGTTGTGTCTTCCATAATAGAATATTTTTTATCTAAATTTGTTATTTTTTCTTTTAACTGTTTTATGTGGTATGTTAACATAGAGAATATTGACATAAAGTATGACATTGTGTCTTCAGTAATAGCATACTTACATCTCTGCATTTTTCCTTAAACTGTTATAAACATTGTGTTAACTTGAAGAGTATCATAAGCACTATCAATTATACTGGCCTGCTTGATATTCAATACGCCTCATACATTCTAACTTAAAATGGTAATATTTCTCATACACGTGCCTCATGTTCTCTTAATGTTTTTGTTTTACTTATGAAAATCGCTTGCATGCCTGCTTTGAATTTTGGAAATTAATGTTGTGTTTTTTTGTTTGTTTAGGCGTGGGTAAGTTACTTCAAGGTTTTTAAAAATTTCTCTTGGTTTATTGGGTCTGGTTGTAAGGAATCATATGTAGAATTAGGGATAAAATGATTTATAAAGTACATCTCTCTTAAGGTGATGTAACTGGATTTACCTAGAAGAACACCAGATGTCAATTGTTTCACTACATTAATATAAGAATACAGACAAAGTTGTGAAAATAATTGATTTATTAATTTTCAATAGACTACTGAAAATGCCTTTAATTTATCAGATGTTGTTTTCAAATATAGCACACAGATAATTTCTCTACACAATTCCAAAGCCACATTATTGATAATACATTATGTAAATGTTAAATTATTATAAAGAATGTTATTTTTCTGTAATAAATCTTTTAACACCTCAGAATTAAGAAGAAAATGAATGATATGGATTATGAACACGACTACAATCAAATATAGCAGTATCTACTGAACTCAGTGATGTTAAGATATAGACACCTGCAATCTCATACTTCTGTCTTGTAAAGACAGTGTAGGCTATCTGTCACTGTAAACCACTTTTATCTCAGTAGTCACCAATATCTACACCTCATACAATGAGATACTTCATCAAATAGTCAAAAAACATACTAGGCCTCCTGCAGTAGAAGATCATCTACGTAAGGGACTACTTATATTTGATAATCTCCCTTGATGTTTGGTGTCTAATGAACCAGTTTAAAAAGGCTAGTTTAGAAAGACTTTTCCAGATATCCTGAACATGGTCCTTTTAAGGAAGTTTTGATCGATCCAGAATATCAAACAATGTGATAAAACAATTGGTTATTTTCTCTTAGTTAAAAATGTGATGGACATTGTATGAAATAAATTTGGTTGACAGTAAATATCCTGCTTGATTATTTTCAGTTATTTTAGCTTTGCCTACTTGCTTATGTATCATTCTGTTACCTTTATTTTCATTTCTTTCTACAATTTTGTAACTACATGTATATTTATCCCAGCTGCAATGTATTGTATAAAACTTAGTGTTTTTTAAATCTTTCTTGCCAGCTTTTGTCTCTATCGCTTTTACACTCTAAGAAAAGAAAATTTGTCATTGCACACAGAAACTAGTTATATTAGTATATATCTAGTATCAATAGTGGTAATGATTGTATCATAAAAAATGGAGGTCAATTTAATTACATCAAATTACAGTTAATGTAGGAAAAGTTGTACATATGCTAATTAGTGTAGAACAAATTTATCTCAAAGCAAAGCAAGGTAAAGTTGTATGTATCATTATTGATAAAGAATGAATTTATCATAATCTCACAGGTCACCAGTTAGGTACAATAATGAATGGAAAACACATATAAAAATCACAGCAAACCAAGGTGAAGTTGAACGTATGTTAGTTACTAAAGAACAAATTTATCATCAATCACAAGCATGAAAAAGTAGAGTCACATTGGTCTGTTAAGTAATTAAGACACTATGTAAATGATGAATAAGTTACATTAAAAGTTTACCCACGTCTTTAAAGTATTCATGGACAGAAACACCACACAACTTTACATTATGTAACCTAGATATCAATGTAAGGATAGAAAGCATTCCTTTTTATCCAATTAATGACCTTGACCCAATTTGAACATTACATAACTCAAACTTTTGATTAAGAAAAATTGAAAGATGCATGGGTTCTTGTTTTCAGAATGGATTGGATCACTGCATAAAACATTCATTGGTTTTTATAATCTTAAATATGAAAAATATGCAGTAGTTATTATAAATATTCCAAAGATATGAGATTGGTTAACTAGTAATCATCAATAGACTTTCTGTCTCCTGAATATATACTTAATTTGCTCTATGTATTGCTTTATGATGTTCTACAAGTCATTATCTTTTCCTTTTCTGAGATCACAGTCATATAATGTACTCTACAGTCTCCTGTTGAGTCAGCTTGCAACATCTGTTAGTGGTATAAACAGTAGTTAGATATTTTAGCCTGAGACTAAAGTGCTGAGGCGATAATGAATAAAACCTTGGACCTGAAGTTATAACTTTATTGGAAAAATCATTAACTGTGTTATTGAGATACCCTAGTTACTGAAGGTCTGAGTGAGTAAATCATCCCTTTATCTTCATAGTGATTGAGTTAAGACGATTAGATTAAAATAACCAAACTCTCAAGCTGAAGATTTATGTAGAATTTTCATTGATTTTTCATTCAGCTGGTTGTGTGTGTCAGTATAACAGCTGTCCTATTACCGGTTTCTTTGCCTACATGTATCAGCTGGTTGTGTGTCAGTATAAAAGTTGTCCTATAACCTGTTTCTTTGCCTTCACGTATCTGTTGGTTGTGTGTGTCAGTATAAAAGCTGTCCTATAACCTGTTTCTTTGCCTACATGTATCTGCTGTTTGTGTGTGTCAGTATAACAGCTGTCCTATTACCTGTTTCTTTGCCTACATATATATGCTGGTTGTGTGTATAAAAGCTGTCCTATTACCTGTTCCTTTGCCTACATGTTTCTGTTTGTGTGTGTCAGTATAACAGCTGTCCTAATACCTGTTTCTTTGCCTACATATATATGCTGGTTGTGTGTATAAAAGCTGTCCTATTACCTGTTCCTTTGCCTACATGTTTCTGCTGGTTGTGTGTCAGTATAAAAGCTGTCCTAATACCTGTTTCTTTGCCTACATGTATCTACTGGTTGTGTGTCAGTATAACAGCTGTCCTATTACCTTTTCGTTTGCCTACACGTATCTGTTGGTTGTGTGTATAAAAGCTGCCCTATTACCTGTTTCTTTGCCTACATGTATCAGCTGGTTGTGTGTCAGTATAAAAGCTGTCCTATAACCTGTTTCTTTGCCTTCACGTATCTGTTGGTTGTGTGTGTCAGTATAAAAGCTGTCCTATAACCTGTTTCTTTGCCTTCACGTATCTGTTGGTTGTGTGTGTCAGTATAAAAGCTGTCCTATAACCTGTTTCTTTACCTACATATATCTGCTGGTTGTGTGTGTCAGTATAAAAGCTGTCCTATTACCTGTTCCTTTGCCTACATGTATCTGCTGGTTGTGTGTATATCAGCTGTCCTATTACCTGTTCCTTTGCCTACATGTTTCTGCTGGTTGTGTGTCAGTATAACAGCTGTCCTTTTACCTGTTTCTTTGCCTACATGTATCTGCTGGTTGTGTGTCAGTATAAAAGCTGTCCTAATACCTGTTCCTTTGCCTACATATATCTGCTGGTTGTGTGTCTGTATAAAAGTTGTCCTATTACCTGTTTCTTTGCCTACACATATCAGCTGGTTGTGTGTCTGTATAAAAGCTGCCCTATTACCTGTTTCTTTGCCTACATGTATCTGCTGGTTGTGTGTGTCAGTATAAAAGCTGCCCTATTACCTGTTTCTTTGCCTACATGTATCTGCTGGTTGTGTGTGTCAGTATAAAAGCTGCCCTATTACCTGTTTCTTTGCCTACATGTATCTGCTGGTTGTGTGTGTCAGTATAAAAGCTGCCCTATTAGCTGTTTCTTTGCCTACATGTATCAGTTGGTTGTGTGTGTCAGTATATAAGCTGCCCTATTACCTGTTTCTTTGCCTTCATGTATCAGCTGGTTGTGTTTCAGTATAAAAGCTGCCCTATTACCAGATCGTTTCCTTGCTTGTTATTGTAATACTAAATACACTTCCTGCTATCATATTTATCTCTTACAATTGACTTTAGTTGCGTTTCAGTAAGTATGTTGTTTTCCACCAGCCTGTTCCTATGTTTAGATGCAAAGCCTTGGTTATTGATGCAAAAAAGATGTTTTCTTAAGATAACATTTTTTTTTGATGGAGAAATCACCACAGATGTTGTAATTGGTATTAAATTATACTAGGATATTAGGCTCAGAAGAAAAAGCTAAGATATTTTTGTTTCTTATAGGATCCATCCAAAGAAAATGTCCCTCAACGGGTTGCCTTTTTTCCTGGCCATTTCAATATATTGTTACGAAGTAAGTATTGCTGTTTAAACAGATCAGGACAGTTTTTACTCGCTTGGTAGATGTTTTCATGAAAATGTTACCTTGATTTTAACCTGTCGATAATTAGGATTCTGCATCTGCCCTTTAATAGTCAGGTTGTCAATCTGTCTGTCTGTTTGTCTCTTTCAGGTTTTTTTTCAGCACAATATTTAAAAATTGGGACCAATTGCATTCAATCTTATCCAATTGTTTCTTTGAAGAAATTGCTTATGAGGGAGTCATTTCAGGTCCTGAGGCCAAAGGTCAAAGTCACTTACTATTTATAGAAAATTGGTTTCTGCAGGGTATTTTCAGTTCTATCTGGCTGATTACATTCAGATGTTCTCCATTGCTTCCCGACAGAAAGTGCTAATTGTTTTTCATGTTCAGAAGTCAAAGGTCAAAGTCACCATTACTATGAATACAAATGGGAATATACATTTGTACAGAAAAACTATATCTTATCTTGATGTTACTGATAAACATTTTCTTATGACACGATGAGAAGTCAAGCAACCCCAGGTCAATGTCATCAGGTCAAAGTCAAGGTCTAATTCGAAATATTCTACATGTATATATAATTTCCTATGGCTTTATGAAGTAAAGTTTACCAGGGTCAAAGTTGAAAATCAGATTTTGAACTTGCTACAATGGTATTATAAAGCAATGTTGACCAGGGTTTAAAGAGAAGTTGCCAGACTACAGGTCAAGGTCATTAGGTCAAATGTCAAGGTCACATTTTGAATACCAATAAATCTTTTGTTTGGAAATTTAAAGTAAAATTTACTTTAAGACGAGAAATTGCCTGAATAGGGGTCAAGGTCCCAAGGTTGTATACATTTTTTCAAATTGCCTTGAAATGTCTTAAGAATGTATTGAAAATAATTTGTATTTTGCATGATAAGTGATAAACAGTAAATTCTTTTTCAGTGTTAACCTGCCAGTTAGGCTCATGTGTTGAGTCAAACACATTGAGGGACCCTTTCTAATCTGTCACTTTTCTAGTTTTATATTTAAAACAATCTGGTTTGGAAAAAAAAGTATATGAGTATGCCAAGTTAAAATTTTATAGTTCAAGAAAGGAAAATACAGTGTCACTCAGGATTTAACATATCCCTGCAGCTAAGTGGAGGTTTACTGGAATCATCTCGTCTGGATGTCTGGATGTCATTCCCAATTCTTGACTAAATTTAGACTGAACTATTGAGCCCCCCCCCTCCCCAAATGACCACTTTTGATGTTCATTTAAATCATTCTGCAAAACATATATAACATATGTGGACAAAGCAGTACTGTGAATATATCTGACATAGCATTACCAGGAAGGTGTCTGACAACTTATCTTTAACCATCAGTAACCTGTTAACCATTCTCTGTTTTAGGGGGCTGGTATGATTTTATCATTAGAAAGTTCTTTAGCAGAAGATGTAAGACATCTATTTAAAAAGTGAGTATGTGATATTGATATTAGTAAAGTTATGATGAAGTAGTAGCTAGAAGTAAAATACTGTAAAATCAATGATTTTATGGGGAGTTTATTTTCATCTGTTTTGTGGGTACATCATATCAACAAATTCATTTGTACATGAACTGTTAAGATTAAGTAGATTTCTTGAGTTATATTTTTGCAAGAAATCAAATGTCCATATAAAAGTTTATTTTTGAAAACCCAGGAAAATTGAACACCATGAAAATATATGATATTACAGTATATGAGTTTCCTTATGAAGAAAACTTTAATATAGGTTTGACTTTGAATCTAATTTGTTAACAATAACATTTGAAATAAGCTTGACCACAGATAGATCTACTGGTTTAAATTTAGCCACACTTTAACAATAAAATCAAGGGTAAACATTCCACATGAGGAGAAAATTCTCCAAGAGCTGAAATATTATATACATGTTGTAGTTCATGTGCTGTCTTTAAGGAGCCCTTAGTAGTCCTCTGAAAATAAATGAGTAAAAAAGCAGAAACAATGTAACTCTGGAAGTCAGGTCTACTGTGCTGGTACATGTAGCCGACATGTTTCAGCCTGATAGGACTACTTCAGCAAACATGATATACATCTGAAGAGAAGTGACAATGAGGGTTCATTTGATAATAGATTACAACATCATTCATAGGTTACCAAGGAAACAGCTAAGAAACAAAAGATAAATTTCTGATGTACTGATACGAACCTGGGCTCAGAAGTTGTGGCACTAATCCTGTTTCACTTAAAACACCATAACCATGTCAAACAAAATCAGAGTTACATTGATGCTGTATTTTGTTGACTGTTGTTGCTTTGTACTAAGTTTCTTTCAATCTGTTTGACTTGTAGATTAATTCATGTCAGCCATTATTTTTGGTGTCCTTTGTTTACAGGTATTTTATTAGTACAATGGTTATTGTAACGAGCATGTATATATCTTTCGGAGCCTGTGGATATCTTGTAAGTTCTTACTTTCCTTCGGAAAATATGATAAATACACTAGTAGTTAACAGTAAGTTTATTGGGGTTAACGCCAGTATTTTATATAAAAAAAAAAAAAATTGAAATGAATATAGATACCATTGACTATTGATAAAACACGAGAAAGAGGCTGACAAATCACAGATGTCATTATTAAGACAAACACATGTAATGATCAAGTCTAAACGGATTTAGGTTTTGATAGTTTATTGTTGGATGTACCCGAAGTATTTGTATGAGGACAATATTAATCAACATTTATGTCTTCTATTGAGAATTTAAGATTATGTGCCTATTATCAGAAAAAATGTTTTCTTTGGTTTAGGGACATTGTTATCTCTAACCAGTCCAGGACAATATGATAATGAGTCCTATTGTATTGTTTTCAGTCTTTTGGTAAAGAAACCAATGAAATAATTACATTGAACCTTCCAAAAGGTATGTATGATAACAAGTGCTCTCTCTTGATACTTTTTATTTATGATTCTATTCATATTACATCATGATTTCAATAATTCTTTGTTATTTTAGATTTTTAAATCACAAAATAGATTTTTTAAGCAGGCCTACTGGAATATTGATTTACTCTATTGGGTCTATTGAAGTTCTATTGGATAAATAGAATTAAAAGTTATTAATTTTTTTCAACAAAATAAAATTGATACCCATGTATTATCATTCTTTTGTTGAAAAAATGAAAATCAATGTTTATGTAATACGAAAATAGAATCTACTTCCCAATCCAAACTACCATGTAAGTATGTATAAGTAAGATGTTTATTGTAGGAGATTCTGTAGACAATTAAATCTACCTTGTAAGTATTATGTATAATTTCGGGTTTGTTTTGGTTGTAGGAGATTCTATAGACTTTGCGATGATTGTCAAGTCATGTCTGTGCCTTGCTTTATTCTTTACTTATCCAGGTAAGTCTTTACAATAATATTTCATTTAGACAATTCTAAGAACTAGCTTTTCCTCAAAAGCCATAAAGGCCAATTACAATGAACCTGTAATAATCCAGACACTGATAATCTGGATATCTCAAAATCAGAATAGAAATGTTAGGAAATTGATTTCCCAACCCTTTCTATTCATCAGTCCAAAAAGTCCAATTCCAATCTGCAAAGACTTTTCAAGAAAAAAATGGACATTTCTTAATGATATTCCAGATATAATCCAAACATATTTGTTGGTCAGCGAGCAAAATTTTTAGGTGTCATAGGTGACCTATTGTGATTACCTTCATCTGGCGTCATGCTTCATGCATTATATAGTACCCATCCCTCAGGGGCCTGAGGGGCGGGGCCAAAAGAGGTCAAATTGCCTTAAATTTCAAAAATCTTCTCAACACCCAGATACGATAGAATCAAATACTCTTCACGGATGGAAGCATCTTAAGGTGCTTAACCAAATTTATGAATTTCATGGCCCCAGGGTCTCACAATTCCCTGTACTATCATTTATAAAGGAAAAATAGATTTTTGATCTTAATTTTTTAATTTCCATTGAAAATATTTCTAACTTGGTTAGAATTATGAGTGAATGATGACGGCTTGATGGTATGCCCATATTGATCCTCTGGGCTGATGGGCAAGGTTTGAAGGGATTAGATTGACTCAAATTTAAAAAATCTTCATCTCAACACCCAGATATGGTAGAATGAAATGCTCTTCATACCAGTATACAGGAACATCTTAGGTGCCTACCAAAATTCTAAATTTCATGGCCTTAGGGTCTCATATTTCTCTGTCGGGAGGGGTAAAGTTTACTACATAGAAAAAAAAAAATTTTTGAGCATAATTTGTTTACTTTCTATTGGAAATATATTCAACTTGGTTAGAATTATGAGTGTAGGAAGAAGGTTTGATGGTAGGCCCATATTAATCCTGACTGACACCAAGGGGCTAATGAACTCCTACACTACTTGTCACCGGAACTTCATTCTTGGTATAGGGGTTCAGTTTGGTAAGGTGATGTGTCAGTGTGAGACTAATTTGATAAATGGTCGTTTATAATAGAGTGAACATTTTTCAAGCAGTGTGAACATCCAACTAAATACTGATGTATTAATGGTTTAATCATCTACCAAATATCTATTGTTATATTATAAAGGGACGTAACTCTGTATGACAGGCCATATGTCCAAGCTCTGCAGTTTTTTAATCAGCCAATTGTAGAGAGGAACAGAATGTCTGCACTGTTAAGGGTATATCATACAGATCTTGATATTGATCTGTCAGATCATAATCAATAGATTCAAAATTGCGAGATTTTGATACCTTGGCATATATACTACATCAGAATTTTGCAGAAGCAAATCTCCGTAAAGATTATACTAATGATATTATATACCATATACATATTTTTGACATAACTAGATGTGAGGTTTCACAATATTTTGAATATTTATTTCAGTGATGATGTTCCCAGTGATGAAGATTCTTGAAGGTTACTTATTTGTTGATGGAGAATCACAGATATGGAAGGGAGTAAGTATGATCTTTATCAGTGAATCGTTAATAAAATGTTGTACTGAAGACAAGAACCAAAACACTTTATATTGTTAAACAGAAATAGGAAGTAGACATCTCTCACTTACATCTTGACCTCTCTCTGTAATACAACAAATAGACGTCTTTCACTGAACACCACACAGGTACAGGAAGTAAACCTCTCTCACAAAACACCACACAAATACGGGAAGTAAACCTCTCTCACCAAACACCACACAAATACAGGAAGTAAACCTCTCTCACCAAACACCACACAAATACAGGAAATAAACCTCTCTCACCAAATACCACACAAATACAGGAAGTAAACCTCTCTCACCAAACACCACACACATACAGGAAGTAAACCTCTCTCATCAAACAACACACAAATACAGGAAGTGAACCTCTCTCACCAAACAACACACAAATACAGGAAGTAAACCTCTCTCACCAAACAACACACAAATACAGGAAGTAAACCTCTCTCACCAAACACCACACAAATACAGGAAGTGAACCTCTCTCACCAAACAACACACAAATACAGGAAGTTAACCTCTCTCATTAAATACCACACAAATATAGGAAGTTAACCTCTCTCAACCAAACAACACACAAATTTAGGAAATAAACCTCTCTCACCAACACCACACAAATACAGGAAGTGAACCTCTCTCACCAAACAACACACAAATACAGGAAATAAACCTCTCTCACCAACACCACACAAATACAGAAAGTAAACCTCTCTCACCAAACAACACACAAATACAGGTAGTAAACCTCTCTCACCAAACAACACACAAATACAGGAAATAAATCTCTCTTACTAAACACCACACATGTACAGGAAGTAAACCGCTCTCATTAGATACCACACAAATACAGGAAGTGAACCTTTCTCAGTTAACACCTCACAAATACAGACAGTAAACCTCTCTCAGTAAACATTTCACAAATACAGAAAGCAAACCTCTCTCACCAAACACCACACAGGTTCAGGAAGTGAACCTCTCTCACCAAACAGCATACAAATACTTGAAATAAACTTCTCACACACAGATACAAGAATGCTTATCTGTCACTAATTTTATGAACAATCCAGAATGAAATTATAAATTTTCAGAAATTGTTAAAATAAGCTATATTGATGTTGCACAAACTTGTATCAGATCATGTATGTTGATATAATATGTAATAACAACATGGCTTTTCTTGTTTGACAGAATGCACTTCGTCTGTTCATGGTATTGGTAACTGGTTTAACGGTGCTACTTATCCCAAACTTTGCCAATTTGATGGCGCTGGTCGGCGCAACTTGTTGTACCCTTTTAGCCTTTATCTTGCCTGGCTTGTTCCATATGTCCATCCACAAAGGGTAGGTAGTCCCTAATTATCTCCAGGGCTTTATACATAGTAAAATATATGTACTGTATGTCTCTTCACTAAGGGTAGGTATTCCCAGGCTATCAACAGGTCTTTATACATAGTAAAATATATGCACTGTATGTCTCTTCACTAAGGGTAGGTATTCCCAGGCTATCAACAGGTCTTTATACATAGTAAAATATATGCACTGTATGTCTCTTCACTAAGGGTAGGTATTCCCAGGCAGTCAACAGGTCTTAATACACAGCAAAACATACTTACTATAGGTTTATCGTCATAAGGTAGGTATTCCCAGGCTGTCAACAGGTCTTTATACACAGCAAAACATACTTACTATAGGTTTATCATCATAAGGTAGGTATTCCTAGGCTGTCAACAGGTCTTTATACATAGTAAAACATATGCACTGTATGTCTCTTCACTAAGGGTAGGTATTCCCAGGATGTCAACAGGTCTTTATACACAGCAAAACATACTTACTATAGGTTTATCATCATAAGGTAGGTATTCCCAGGCTGTCAACAGGTCTTTATACATTGTAAAACATATGTACTGTATGTCTCTTCACTAAGGGTAGGTATTCCCAAGCTATCAACAGGTCTTTATATATAGTAAAATATATGTACTGTATGTCTCTTCACTAAGGGTAGGTATTCCCAGGCAGTCAACAGGTCTTTATACATAGTAAAACATATGTACTGTATGTCTCTTCACTAAGGGTAGGTATTCCCAGGCTGTCAACAGGTCTTTATATATTTATGTCTATCCTCTAAAGGAAGGTAGCCCTAGACTATCACGAGGGTTGTTTTATACAGTAAAACATATGTACTGTATGTCTATCTTTTAAGATTAAGATTTTAGGATAGATAGTTTGACAGTGAACAGACCTCGATACAGAAAAATATTGTCACTCAAGAATATGCTAATCATTGATTTCAATGCTTGTTATGTAGGGTTAAGTGTGCATTAAAACATATATGTAGAATGAGTGTACATTGTATATCTACAAAGAATACATTGTATGTATATGTAGAATGACTAAACATTGTATGTATATGTAGAATGACTATACATTGTATGTATATGTAGAATACATGTACATTGTATGTATATGTAGAATGACTATACATTGTATATATATGTAGAATGACTTAACATTGTATGTATATGTAGAATGACTTTACATTGTATATATATGTAGAATGACTATACATTGTATGTATATGTAGAATGACTATACATTGTATGTATACGTAGAATGACTATACATTGTATGTATATGTAGAATGACTATACATTGTATATGTAGAATGACTATACATTGTATGTATATGTAGAATGACTATACATTGTGTATGTAGAATGACTATACATTGTATGTATATGTAGAATAATTATACATTGTATGTATATGTAGAATGACTATACATTGTATGTATATGTAGAATGACTATACATTGTATGTATATGTAGAATGACTATACATTGTATGTATATGTAGAATGACTATACATTGTATGTATATGTAGAATGTCTATACATTGTGTATGTAGAATGACTATACATTGTATGTATATGTAGAATGTCTATACATTGTGTATGTAGAATGACTATACATTGTATGTATATGTAGAATAATTATACATTGTATGTATATGTAGAATGACTATACATTGTATGTATATGTAGAATGATTATACATTGTATGTATATGTAGAATGACTATACATTGTATGTATATGTAGAATGACTATACATTGTATGTATATGTAGAATGACTAAACATTGTATGTATATGTAGAATGACTATACATTGTATGTATATGTAGAATACATGTACATTGTATGTATATGTAGAATGACTATACATTGTATATATATGTAGAATGACTTAACATTGTATGTATATGTAGAATGACTATACATTGTATATATATGTAGAATGACTATACATTGTATGTATATGTAGAATGACTATACATTGTATGTATATGTAGAATGACTATACATTGTATATGTAGAATGACTATACATTGTATGTATATGTAGAATGACTATACATTGTATGTATATGTAGAATGACTATACATTGTGTATGTAGAATGACTATACATTGTATGTATATGTAGAATAATTATACATTGTATGTATATGTATGACTATACATTGTATGTATATGTAGAATGACTATACATTGTATGTATATGTAGAATGACTATACATTGTATGTATATGTAGAATGACTATACATTGTATGTATATGTAGAATGTCTATACATTGTGTATGTAGAATGACTATACATTGTATGTATATGTAGAATAATTATACATTGTATGTATATGTAGAATGACTATACATTGTATGTATATGTAGAATGACTATATTGTGTATGTAGAATGACTATACATTGTATGTATATGTAGAATAATTATACATTGTATGTATATGTAGAATGACTATACATTGTATGTATATGTAGAATGACTATACATTGTATGTATATGTAGAATGATTATACATTGTATGTATATGTAGAATGACTATACATTGTATTTATATGTAGAATAATTATACATTGTATGTATATGTAGAATGACTATACATTGTATGTATATGTAGAATGACTATACATTGTATGTATATGTAGAATGACTATACATTGTATGTATATGTAGAATGACTATACATTGTATGTATATGTAGAATGGTTATACATTGTATGTATATGTAGAATGGTTATACATTGTATGTATATGTAGAATGACTATACATTGTATCTATATGTAGAATGATTATACATTGTATGTATATGTAGAATGACTTAACATTGTATGTATATGTAGAATGACTATACATTGTATGTATATGTAGAATGACTATACATTGTATATGTAGAATGACTATACATTGTATGTATATGTAGAATGACTATACATTGTATATGTAGAATGACTATACATTGTATGTATATGTAGAATGACTATAAATTGTGTATTTTTCAGGTCCTTGTCTATAAAACAGGTGGTGATTGATTGGACTCTGATATTTATTGGTGTTGTAGGGTAAGTACACTGAGCAACCACTGGATACATTCCAGATATCAGTCAGTTTAATTATTCACCTAGTACATATCATTTTCAAGCTTCAGATTGGGATCAGTGTATTTAATAGGACTTTCCAGAATATGTAGTCTGTATATTATTATACTATAGTTACTGCTTTGTTCTTCCCTCTGTTTGTCCTTTCATGCCAAGAACACAACTTTGCCCATAAAGATCATGAAACTTGGTGTATATATTTGTCATACTGACAATGTGCAATGTACCAAGTTTGTGTCCCACAATCCCTTAATTACAGAGTTATTGCTCTTTGTCAAAACTTTTGTGTCTGTGTTTCTGTTAAGCCAATATAATGAAACTTTGTAAATACATTGGTCATACTAGGAGGATGTGAAGTGTACCAAATTCAGGGCCCAAAACAGCTTTATTATAGAATGATGCCCTTTGTTAAAATTTTGTGACAATTTCAGGGAGTGTTTGTTAGTTTCACTGATACTTTTGCCTATTTAACTGATTAGCTAAAACGTTTGTAAAACACATGTTCCATTCACCAGTGAGTAAATGTTTCTGCAAGGTAACTGCTTCCTTTGTCATATCAAATATTATGCAGGTGTCATGCATCAAGAAATATCTCACACCAAAATAAGTTTAAAACAAGTTTAAAAGATGAAAATGGGAAAGGTGGTTATTAGACACAGATTGAAGCTTTAAAATCTTCACATATGTTTAGACTTGATTTGTCAACTAGCACGGCATTCCAATCTTTGACAGTTATTTGACAGAAAGACATCTTTCTGAAGTATATATTGCATTATGGTACCTGATAGGCATTGCCAAAAGAATGTCAAAGTCGTTTTGTTTATCTGTCCAGGCGATCAGTCTTGGAAATGGAAACTAATTCAAGATTGATCTTACAGTACTTAGTAATCATCTCTTGGTTTCTAATGATCTCAAACCAAGATGGTGGATCTTGGTAGTGACATTTGACCTACAGTGCAGAGTGCTCAAGACAAACCTTGCTGCTGTTCATTGTTATAGAAATTTTTTCTGCATAAACAATTGGTGCTGCCTCAGTAATACCTGTATTTTAACTTCAATATTTTGTATGTATTTGTAGCTTTTCATAGGCATTAAAGTGTATTTCTTTAAAATGTGTAACTTGTATGTTTGTACGACTCTTGTATATGTTATGTTAACAGTGATAATCTATTTGTATGACCATTGTATGTTAACATTGTTAATCTGTTTGTAGGACCATTGTATGCACGGTTGATGCACTGAAGCGTTTACAGGAGTCACACCAGTTAAATATAGAAGACTTTTCTGCATCAAACATGACGAGTACCACACTGCAGGCCATTTTCAACCCCACAACCACATCGACGCCCACACCATAATCATTTATCACACTTAGTCTTACAATATATATGTATATGTGGTTGTGTAATGAAAAAAAAGCTAAAAGTTTACAGTGTACTTAAAATGGGCAATCACAATTGTTTGTTCCAGGAACAGGTTCACAGAAATCTGAACTGATTGAATTTGATGTCTAAGTGTCCATGATTCAGCAGTTTTGTATTGAGAAGCTGTAATAAGGGTTCTCAGTTTAACACTGTATATTTCAATCTCATATTGATAAGCGGGTTCCTTTGAATCCATAATTTTAAAATGTTTGTGAAGTATTGATTATATGTACAAACATATTGAAATTTTATAGAATATTGAACTTTTTTTGAAGTTGGTGAAGAAAACATGAATCCGTCAGAGTTGCTGTGCATCATGTAGAAGGACTATCCTATTGAGATTTTATTTTTACTGGACATTTGTAATGCTTGTTATTGTTGAGTCACAAGCAACAATAAAAGGATGACATGAACTTACAGGGAAGACATAAATGGCACACAAAAATATCCAAAAGTCTGTACATGTTCAATTAAATAATCTTAAAAATGTAAACACTTTGATTAAATATATGTTTACATTTACAACGTTATACAAAATCAGTATCTGTTGTGGTAAAGTTTCAAAATTTTTGTCCTTCATTGGTAAGCGTGCTTCTTTCTTTATACAATGGGATATTGAGGTATACTCCTCTATATGATTTATCATCCGTTTCCAATGTATAATCTGAATACTGGTAGTTCTTGAAACTCTAAAATATAGAGTGCTACTTGCACTTTCTTTGTGTTGCTAATAAAGCAAATACTATGGATGCAGAAATTTATCATAGCGCTGTTTTTCCAAAATATGACAATGCCTTAAAATCTGATTGCGGCAAATTAAGTACTTTTGCAGTTGGACATCTTCAAAGGTAAAACTATATCTGTGAAATATTATTGTTTATAAAGTAAATCATTTGTTGATTTAGTTAAAAATTGTCATATGAGATTATGTAACAGATCGGGTTATAAAAAAATGTATAATATGTTGAGATTTCAGGGTGATAAATGTTTACTTATACAGAATATCGGTACTTACAAAGTCATTGTAAATTTGTTATCGTACATGCAATGACCAATACTTAAAGAGATATTTCAGATCATTATGATAAATGTGCTGTAAAGGCTCTCTGTATGAAATGTCAGATATAGTTCTAAAGCATTATCAGCCCTGTTGTATGTTAGAGGTGAATGAATATCAATTATGTGAGGGGTTTTGTAGACATAAATCATCATTTTAAGATGTTTTTATTGCAAAATTGAAAATATATATATATATTTGTTTATAAATACTAGAATTATTTATTACTCAATATTGTCGATATTACTAACTTGTACACACAAGGGTAAAAATTGTGTGTTTTGTAGACCAAATTGTATTAAGTGATGGCTCGTAGAGTTTTATTTTACAAATATTTACCTAACAACTTAATCATGTAGTGTTTTGTCATTCATCAATTCACAAAGAAAGGGGTGCTTTGTCAATGTTTCCAGTACATGTAAATTTGCTCTCAGATTTTACAGTACTGTAAATGTGTTCTCAAATATTTTTTCTAAAGAAAAATTAAGAATGAAATGTTAGACATAAGTTCCCTGATCATAAAGTGTACTATGTTTTGTATATATTCTTTCTTTGGTTTTGGAAACTTTTGTTTAAAGAAACCTTTGTTATTCATCATTTTGTGGAGATTGATTCTTTATACATGTCAGATGGTGTGAATATATGTTAGATGTTTTCTTCATAAATACATATACCTTATGTTTTACCTGTTTCTACCAGTATATGATATCATTAGGTATGCTACAAAGCATTAAGGTGTTTTATTTTAGGGACCAAATTATTGTTGTTAATATTGAGTCAGAAAATTTGTTTTAGTAGATGCACTATATTTTGACAAAAATGGAATCCTTGACAATGTGTGATCCAAACATTATTTGTATTTTCTCACTAATAAACGTTCATCTGACTGGAACATTTCAAGTGTTTCAGAATGCTAAAGGTTGATATATATTATATATGTAAGAAAACATCGAAGTATATAAGGGCAAGCTAATGACAGTCATATTTACCTTTGGTGCCAGACATATTAAAGTCACAAACACCTTTCTGTACAAAGATTGTACAAAAGACACAATAAAGTCACAAACACCTTTCTATACAAAGATTTTCAAAAAAGACACACAGTAAAGTCACAAACACCTTTCTATACAAAGATTGTACATGAGACACACATCAAAGTCACAAACACCTTTCTATACAAAGATTGTACATGAGACACACATCAAAGTCATAAACACCTTTCTATACAAAGATTGTACAACAGACATATTAAAGTCACAAACACCTTTCTGTACGAAGATTGTATAAGAGACACACATCAGTCACAAACACCTTTCTATACAAAGATTGTACAAGAGACACACACCAAAGTCACAAACACCTTTCTATACAAAGGTTGTACATAAGACACACATCAAAGTCATAAACACCTTTCTATACAAAGATTGTACATGAGACACACATCAAAGTCATAAACACCTTTCTATACAAAGATTGTACAACAGACATATTAAAGTCACAAACACCTTTCTGTACGAAGATTGTATAAGAGACACACATCAGTCACAAACACCTTTCTATACAAAGATTGTACAAGAGACACACACCAAAGTCACAAACACCTTTCTATACAAAGATTGTACAAGAGACACACACCAAAGTCACAAACACCGTTCTATACAAAGATTGTACATGAGACACAGTATAAGAGACAAACATCAAAGTCACAAACACCTTTCTATACAAAGATTGGACATGAGACACACATCAGTCACAAACACCTTTCTATACAAAGATTATACATGAGACACACATCAAAGTCACAAACACCTTTCTATACTAAGATTGTACATGAGACACACATCAAAGTCACAAACACCTTTCTATACAAAGGTTGTACATAAGACACACATCAGTCACAAACACCTTTCTGCACAAAGATTGTACAACAGACACACATCAGTCACAAACACCTTTCTATACAAAGGTTGTACATAAGAGACACATCAAAGTCACAAACACCTTTCTATACAAAGATTGTACAATAGACACACATCAGTCACAAACACCTTTCTATACAAAAATTGTACAAGAAAGACATCAAAGTCACAAACACCTTTCATTACAAAGATTTTAAAAAGACACACAAAGTCACAAACACCTTTCTATACAAATATTGTACAAAAGACACACATTAATGTAAATTACACATACAGAGATCATTTAAAGGACTTTCATAACAGTCAATAGCACCTTTCAATACAAATATATCATTAGAAACTCTAGTCAAAACTGAAAACAAACTCTCATGCAGCTGATTTTCCCGTCAAGGCCTCGTCTGTAATATAAAGGGCAAATATTGTTTAAGCCTAGTTGGTGACAGAGGGAAATCTACATTGGACAGAATAAATGCACAAAACAGGTACAAGTAAATATGACTGAGAAAAACTGAAATTAATGAAGACTTGAAGAGTAGATATAAAACCAGCTCATTTGTAGGTATTATCTCTGTACTGTTTTTCAGCAAAATGGGATATTTTATTTCTTTTAAATACACTTCAGCTGTTCAGTCCTTTATGTTTAATTTGATGTAACCAAATATTTTGATATGTGATATTACAATGCAAACTTTAGTAATATTAAGCTAACAATTATCGCTGTTAATTGATTACATATAGGTTACATATCATTAATAGCACATGTTAGTAAATACCACTTTATCCCGTTGGCATAGCGTTCTAAAACCCCCTGACATAGCTTACAAACATTAACAGCAGTAACAAATCCTTTTGTTCAATATCCATGCCGTAGATATATGTATATCTGTTAAACACAGTAAAGGTTGTTTAATGCCAAAAAGTTTACCATTATAACAAAAGTTAGATGGGATTCCTGCCTCAGTAAGACATGTCATTCCAACGAGCCAACTACAGTGATTAAAAGAAGATGTAAGCTTGTAGCCCTTCATAATATTAGGTCTCTTCATAATAAAGTGTGAAACTTTTTGGGTTCTTGGGATCAAAATGACACAATTATAAAAAAGATTTCTATATCAGTTTGTCTTTTAAGGTGGTAATATCCCAACAGAGGCAATGCAGACAACTGAATTTGTTAATCTCAATCAAAACATTTCTTGCACACCATTGGAATATGGATGAATTTGTCGAAAAATCTTCAACTTTGTACAAGTGCCATAACTCTGCTGGTTGGAGAGGCACTGAAGCAAGTGGGGAATACAAAATCTTGACAGAATTGTATAAATGATCCATAGTAGATAAGTGTAAGGACACATTGCTATAATAAATAGTAGGGCTTAAGAAAGTGCTGCTGTCTCAAATAATTTATGTCACCATCTAAATACTGTCTTTAGTTTTAACTATCTTGGTGTATTCATTTTACATACGTGTATTTAACTATTGTGGTGGCTTGAAGTGGAAAGAGAATAGTATTTTATGACAAATGTTTTGATGTCCCATATTATGATATATAAATGTTGCTATATATTTGTAATTAGAATAGTAGTTACTGTACTTGTTTGGTTCTACTAACAGTGGTTTTGTTTATTTTAATCAGGCAGATACTGTTGTAATTCAGAATGTACCGATCGGTTGGTAAATTTTTAGTACATGTATACATGTACAAGAAATGAAGGAACTCTAATCCTTTTGCATGGATTAAAATCGTGTGGGAACTTAAATTAGAAACTAGCAAACATCGTAACACACCCAACTAAATATCCAACGTCCGTCATAATTATCGTTCTTATCTGATGTATATGATGGAAAAGGAGATTCATGTAGAATAACCAAACAAAAACTTATCGTGGAAAGAAGTTTGGAAGTTTTTGTTCTGATGTGGTAATTATAGATGTAACACTTTTTACCATTGGTGTTGTGACGTGATGATGGTAGATGTAACACTTTTTACCATTGGTGTTTGGCGTGATGATGGTAGATGTAACACTCTTTACCATTGGTGTTTGGCGTGATGATGGTAGATGTAACACTTTTTACCATTGGTGTTGTGACGTGATGATGGTAGATGTAACACTCTTTACCATTGGTGTTTGGCGTGATGATGGTAGATGTAAAACTCTTTACCATTGGTGTTTTCACGTGATGATGGTAGATGTAACACTTTTTACCATTGGTGTTTTCAATTGATGATGGTAGATGTGTCACTCTTTACCATTGGTGTTTTCAATTGATGATGGTAGATGTGTCACTCTTTACCATTGGTGTTTTCAATTGATGATGGTAGATGTGTCACTCTTTACCATTGGGGTTCAAAGGTGATGTAAGAGATGTGACATTTTCGTGCGTGATGTTTATAGATGTAACACTCCTTACTATTGGTGCTTTCACGTGATGAATGTTAATGGAACACTCTTTACCAATAGTGTTCTGATGAGATAATTAGCTTTTATGGTGCTGGCTATTGATGTTTTTACCGGGGGCTAGTGTTCTCAGTCTAACTGATACTTTTCTTTAGTTGAAAGGATGAGGACGTAAGGTACATGTAGGTATGTCCTGATTAGGTTTTATTCTGATACTTACTTAGGAATTATAGTTAGATTTAGTTTTCCCTGATTCTGTTCATCAGTAATGAACCGTCGAGGGTAAGATAAGCAGCATGTGCAAAATCACAGTCACGCTTTCGCGACGTCATAAAGATATATAAAGTCAGTCTTTATATAATGTCTTATAGGAAGTGGATAAATGGGGTTCAAGTGTATTTGTCATATGAACAGGTTATGTTGTAATTAACTGTAATAATTCTGATGGCCACATGTACAAAAGAGATGAAATATTTCCACATAGTAAGATTTCAGAAATTTATATTTGATGTAACATCAAGTAATGTTAAAGTCTGGTCTCAAATCACAACGTTTTCAGTAGAATGAAAGGTATGTGATATACGTTGGTAAGACCAGTCTTTTTAGAGACCACCATGGTATACATGGCTTACTGGTAAATGCATTACCGGTTACGTCATAAATAAAAAAAAAATTCGAAATGTGTGTGTATTTTTGTTTAGTTATTTAAGATATTATCCATAGATAACACTAACGCAATACAGGTCAGTACTAACTACAGTATACTTTTATTGAATATATGTAAATTCATTTAACGTTCAACATTGATTCTCTAATCTTGGAACACATGCTCCGCTGACGTTGGTTATCGACAGGTAAACATTATGGATGAAAATCAAAACAAAAGGAATTAAAAAATAAAACCAAAGAGAAACATCATCATAATTCTGAGTAAGAGTAAACGTTTGCTCCATAGACGACATCAGTCAAGTAAATCTTGGTCAATGAAAGTGAGTAATCTCACCTTGTCAAATGAGTTATACAAAAAACAAACTAACGAATATCAAACACGTCCAGCTTTATGACTAACAAGAAATTGAATGTTTCCCAATGAGACCAAAATGCTGCCGTGAAATCAACCTGCATCTTTATAAACCCTATGTTATGGGTTTGATTAGTTTGCCTGTCAGTTGAAGATTTATTGCACGTAAATCGTGATATTGGGAACACGACCTTGAATATCGAATCATTAGCGACATGTTAACACAATGGGATGGATATCCAGGCATGTTGATATCCATATAAGAACAAATCATATCAGTAAGTTGAAATCAAAACACCTTTCATACAGCTTTTAGAAAGCTGTCCATATAGAAAGAAAATGCCGACATGTCAACAGTCTAAATTGAAACTTCTACGTGATGAAACAATGGCACAATATAATATATATATAAAAGAAAAATTTACTTGGAGACCTTTAAAAAGTACGATGAGAATAAGACAAGATGTTCCGGAAGTTGAAGCGCACTCTGGTTCATCAACAACACCTGCCATCGCCTGCCATTTTTGTATTGTCTTCTGACTATATGAATGTCCACAGTAAATAAGACAATGGTGCAATAATTCCATTGACGTTTCAATAGTATTAGTTTTTATTTGTAAAATATTCTGATTGTTCCCCTCTAAAATTCAAAGTTAAACGATGAGAATACTGAAATGATTGATATCTCGTTGAGACGTATAATAAAGAAAATACCAACATGTCAACAGAATCATAGTCCATATTCAAATTCAGAAGAACTACAAACTCCTGAAAACGCACAAGGTGACCATTTGGTCTACATCATCGACGAAAACCGCTATGTAAATCTTGGTCAATCCAGGTAATATCACTTTCCCAAATGAGAAAGTGGTAAACAAAAACTGAACCAATAATATATGTCATTTCCCATTTGAACCGAATTCTGTAGCAAGAACTTCTATAAATCCTTATCTGACACTAGCTTGTCTGACTGCGGTTCTTCTCGGTTGAATTATATAAAGACATGTTAGATATTTGATAGAAATCTAAACAAGTCACCCCACGATAGCTTGAAATATGATTGAATTTTTATCGCTACATCTTCTTTAATTTCTGTAGTCTATGCTTAAGGTGTGATTTCCTCTGTCCTATAACGGGTTGGCTGATTCTATTACTGCATTGCCTGACCGTGGCATACTGGCCTCACTTGTTAAAGCATGGTTAGAGTTTGCGCGATAAAAAGTATTTTCAAAGCAAACATGATACCCGAAATGAGGTATCCGACTCGACCTGTTTTAGCAAACATATATCTTGGATGAATGTTCCCAATTTAGTTTAATTCATATCTGGAGAAAAAAAAATCTTTAACCAATTTTAAGTGTAACCAAGCGTTGAATAACTAGGACCTGTTAGTCATTTTTAGCACGTATAGTTTATATGTATGACGATATTTTTGAATGTCCTTGCAATTTATTGTAGTTTTATTAGTAACGCTGTATCATAAGTGACTGCGACAAGTTGTTTATGCTTTTCCTTAGGCATCTTCTCGAATTAAATTGAACGAGAGCGTTATGTCAAATATTGTTTAACTCGACATAGATCAAGTCAATCACTAATGACATTAAGGTCATGATGTCAAGGTCACTTTCAGACTTAATTGATACTCAATAGTCGCGCTAGAAGGCATATTACTTTCATTGGCCAATATCATTTATATTAGGGTCACACCGAGTTTATGTAACTGTAACAACGTTATATTCATCACGCCCTCTTAACCGTTATCACATCAGTATTTTCGCTTTGATGGAGAGCACTGAACATGTCTGTTGAAACTCGTATTCATATATGCACGTATATATTTATATATTGCAGTATTTTAATTCATTTGACAATTGGCTCCTCATTACCAGTTTGTAAGCAAGGTGAGAACTGCATGCTCCCGGACTGTTTTTGCAGCACATTTAAGCATCCGCTTGACCTAAAGACGATTCCACAGATGGTTTACTTTGGGTTCGACAAAGGTGCAAAAGCTGGCGCGGAAGCTTACTACAATAGGTTATTTCGACATGAACGTAAAAACCCCAATGATTGTCCAATCAGTTTGACTTTGTTTGTTTCTGACGCTAACAAGAATTTTGATCTGATAACGGAGTATTACAACCGAGGCTTTGAAATTGCGATTTTAAGTTCGAGTCACCACGTTAGCTACACGGTAGAAAGACTTAAAGCGGAAGCAAAAACACGTCGATATGACATAACAAGCTTTTCAAATATCACTGGAGACAAAATCCGTGGATGGAAAAGTACCCGTCAGCAGTCAGTACGAGATGCGCAGATAGAAGCTTTACGAAGTAACAACTTAACCTATGACGTGTCTTTCCCTTATACAAGAAAAAAAATGACAGATTTAAATCCATGGCCTTTTACATTGGATTATGGATGGACATTGCCTTGTGAAATACAACCGTGTCCGACCGAGAAACATCCGGGCTTTTGGGTAGTACCTGTGAACGCCATGAGAGATTATGGTGACTGGGGAGCTTGTAGATACTTTGATTCCTGTGTTAACAAACCATTAACTGTAAATCAAACATATACATACATAATGGATAATTTCCGTAGTCATTACCATGGCAATAGAGCACCATTTGGTATTCACATGCACGAGGCATTGTTCTCGGAATCGGCTGAACATATAGAAGCGATGGACCTGGCTATACAAGATTTGTTGAGATATGACGATGTGTATATTGTTGATGTCAATCAGGTAATTGAATGGATGAATGAACCTACAGAGCTACAGTTTATCAGGAGTTTTAAACCATGGAGTTGTACTTCACAATCTGTTAGTGCTATAACACTACCTGGCATATTGATTTTCAGCATCGCTATATTGTGTATTTTTGTTTACATTAGAGTTATGACTAAACTATCTGGGTAGTTTTTCTACTTACATGAAAAGATAAAGTGTTGGAAATAACACAAATCTAGGTTTCGGTAAGGTGTTTGGTTGAAAATAGAATGTGCTTTTTCATGTGTATTATTTCTTTTATTTTTAAGAAAATATCGACATGTCAACATAATCATAATCAAAACTCAAATTGAATAAAACGAGGGCAAAATACGACTGAAAGAATAATACAAGGACAATAAAACAAGGTTTCCGGAAAAATGAGCGTCTTCTACTTAATCCACGACACCAGCCCCGTAAATGTTGGTCAATCCGAGTAAGTAATGTCACGTTAATCGCTTCATATTGCATAAAGAATTAGAATATTTCCATTGAGATCACTATCACGACCATAAAACTTCCCCGTAATACGAGGTTTGGATTTTTTTTCGTCAGTTGACTATTTGCACGAAAACCGTGATGATGGTGCATGTTTAAGTTGGTGAATTGAATTTCATTATCATATACGTACATGGGACTTACATGAAATCAATACTGAATAAGCGTAGCCGAATAGTTTTACTATTCGCTAACAGTCATTTCGGCACTTGCCAGCATGTCCGAAATCGACGCTATTCCATGACAACTCGTACACATATCACACCTTTGTGTACATGCTTTACTGGTCATTTGTCTGAGGAAGGTGACAGCGTACGGATCGTACTGGTCACCGAAACGTCACATATTAAAATTCCTGGTTGTGTATAAAGAATCTTTACATAATCCTTACATGAAATCAGTTCAGATTGATATAATTTAATGTAGTTTTTCAGTAGGGATGCAAATCGCAGAAAAGATACTTATGAGTTCATTAATTGTTGTGTGCATCTCTCGTTGTTTCGAAGATAAATCAAAATAAAAAAAAAATACAAAAAAAAAAAAAAAAAACTCAAATGATATCTAATGAAAATCATATGACAAATTGACATTAGATTCTCGTCATTTTTCGATAAAAGAAATTTTGGTGATTATATTGTAATCCTCAGATTTTACCCGGAAGCATAAGTTATCAATTATTTCCAAACTAATTGGAAAAATAAGATTTTGATGGCATCTTCTTTATTTCTGTTATTTCCTTCCGTTCACTATTAATTGGCGAGGTATATATCATCAGTGTTAGCGACTAGAGGGTGATGGCAATTGTGGTAGGGCTATTGATGTTTATAATATTGTAACACATGTTACTCGAGTGCGAGTGGTAGACTGTTGGCTACTGTTTGTTTATAGAAATAGAAACAAGTTTTAAATTGAAAGTAGTACACATAAACGGAGATATTTTCCCCATGAAACCATGATGCCAGATGTACATGTTACCGAACTTCTGATCACTGACCGCGATCTCCGTTATCTTTGTATTTTATTCGGATCTAAAATATACATTTCTGTTATGTTTGTGTCACAGATAATTATATATATATATATCAGGATTCAAGACGACAATAACCTTTCTATTTAACCTAAACCACACATTAGATACGCAGATTATATGTGCCCCCTCCTTCACATAATGAGTTAATATGTGTAATTTACATGTAACTCAGTTCCTGTGTGATGTAACATGGTCTTGTATACATGTTTTTATTTTATGTCGTTTTTTTTGTAATAAACGGCCAGTATCATTTCACAATTCTGTTTTACTGGTTATCTTTCACAATGGTTGTGCTGCTCCGAAGATAAAAATTGTGTAGAATGAAAGCTTCTGTGTGTACTTTCTAAATACACAAATGAAAATAGATAATTGTACGAATTGCTGACTACAGTACTAAAGGAAACTAAGCAATTCCAATAAATGAATCATAGCCAGTTTGTATATTTCATTTTGGTACTACTTGCGTGCTGCGGTTTCTTCGACAAGCTACCAAGTGAGTAATTTTTGTTGCTATATATAGTTAAAACGCGTTTTTGCCTACACATCTCCTTACATTGAAATACAGAGGCACTCTAGGATATAAATAGCGTAACAATTTTGTTTTTGAAGCGTGATTTGATTTTTTGACAATGTTTCAAGGTCATTAGCAGATACTCTAGCACCCCTGGTGCGGAAACCCGCACATCCTGCCAGAAACTGCAAAGGCACTTTGGTACTTATCCGAAAATCTGAAGACTACTTTATTTTACAAGATATTCGTAGCGTCATGAAAACATTCTGATACCTTGATTGGGCAATCCAGTAAGGGAACAAAGAATTTGGAGAAAAGCAAAGATAAGACAAATGGACGTTACACTAAGTAAACAAACAAAATGGCAGGACATCGTTTTCAAAAAATGGCATTTCAGAATCAATTCAGAGGATGTACCTTGATCACAAGACTTTCCAATATATATATAAGGAAGACATCGCAGAATGCGCATACAAAATTGTTGATGTGTCGGGGTCCGTCTTCCTATAACACAATAACAGAGACCGTAAGACCGTAGAAAAGTATTGTTTCAATACAAGTAGCCTGATAGTTATCTTCGATTTTTTGTTTTGGTCGTGAAAAAAACAACATGAAATTTTTACGACCTAAGGAGCCTACGGAGCCGTTAACTGACATGCTCCATACTTATTTTATTTCGTTTTTTCGAAATATTATTTCGTTTAAACGAAATATTAATTCGTTTTTTCGTAATATTAATTCGTTATTTCGAAATATTATTTCGTTTAAACGAAATATTAATTCGTTATTTCGAAATGTTAATTCGTTATTTCGAAATATTATTTCGTTTAAACGAAATATTAATTCGTTTATTAGAAATATTATTTCGTTTTTTCGAAATAATAATTCGTTTAAACGAAATATTAATTCTTTTTTTCGAAATATTAATTCGTTATTTCGAAATATTATTTCGATATTAATTTGTTATTTCGAAATATTATTTCGTTTAAACGAATTATTATTTCGAAAAAACGAAATAATATTTCTAATAAACGAATTCATATTTCGTTTAAACGAAATAATATTTCGAAAAAACGAAATAAAATAAGTATGGAGCATGTCAGTTAACGGTAAACGGGCTCCGTAACGACCCGAGTTTGGGTCGACATTCAGAAAAATAATAAATCTGAAGTTTTGCCAATAGTTTGTAGCATTCATTAATTGATTGTGAAGTTCGAAAATCGTGTCAATTAAATCATTTGCTTGCAGGGATGACTTTTAACAAGCATGAATAGGTGCATTAATAGTGGATAATAGATGTAAAGGTTACACTCGTAACCTCAGGATACTTGGACTTTGTACCTAAGGATCAATACATAATGTTTTGCTTGTTCTCGGACTACTTCTCACTTTTTAGCACATACATTATACACCCTTTTAACACTTATCAAAAGGGTTGAAATTATACAATTTAGTGAATTATGAGGCTAACGGAATTCTCCTTTTCTGTCATTTTTCCCGATACGATCACGATATGACGTACTCGCTTATCTTAAACATTAACATTAAAGGTACCTTTAATACCGGTTTGATGATTCGTCAGACCAAGATGAAAATTTCAAGATTTTGATCAAAATGCATTCGATAAATATCATTCATGGAAAGTGTTTCGAAATTTATTCTTACAAGATAAGGTAGTCTGCAACGCAAAATTACGTCACTATAGCATGATTGATTGACTTAAGTGGGTATGTGATAAATACCTACATTTCTACTCGGTCCCACTACAACAGAAATGTTATGTTGCCGTCGGACATACAAGGCGTATACAAAATGGATCAGCACAATACATTTAATTTTGTGTGGAGAAGATTGAATTGTTCTACAGAAGACTTGTGACATGGGGAGATAGAACCAGTCATGTTTTCTATCACAACTGTTCTCGTGTGCTGCAGCATTTTAATTCCTTTAACATCAAGCTCCTTTTTACCAGTATGTGAACAGAAGGTTAACTGTAAACTCCCGGATTGTTTTTGCAGCACATTCAAGCATCCTCTTGACCCAGAGGAAATTCCCCAAATTGTTTACTTTGGATTCGACGATGGTGCGAAGGTTGCAGACGAAGCTTACTACAACAGATTATTTGGAGAAGACCGTAAAAATCCTAATGGTTGTCCGATAAGTATGACACTGTATGCTTCTGGGGACAACACGGATTATACCGAACTGAATCACTATTCTGACAGAGGGTTTGAGATTGCGATTCACAGTATAAGTCATACTGTTATTGACACTGGTGAGAAGATCCAGATAGAAGCTCTTGGACAAAGAGAGAACATCATCAACTTTTCAAATATAACAAAAGACAAGATCCATGGATGGCGGAGTCCCTACCTACAGACAGCAGGTGATGTGCAGATAGAGGTGTTACAAAATAACAACTTTACCTATGACGTGTCTTTCCCTTATACAAGAAAAAAAATGACAGATTTAAATCCATGGCCTTTTACATTGGATTATGGATGGACATTGCCTTGTGAAATACAACCGTGTCCGACCGAGAAACATCCGGGCTTTTGGGCAGTACCTGTGAACGCCATGAGAGATTATGGTGACTGGGGAGCTTGTGGGTTCCTGGATTCCTGTGTAAATAAACCACTAACTGTAAATCAAACATATACATACATAATGGATAATTTCCGTAGTCATTACCATGGCAATAGAGCTCCATTTGGTATTCACATGCACGCGACATGGTTCACAAAGCCCGAACACATAGAGGCGATGGACCGTGCAATTCAGGATTTTCTAGGGTACGATGATGTTTTTATTGTAAATATCAACCAAACAGTTGAGTGGATGAAAAGACCAACAGAGCTGAAGTTTATAAACCGTTTCAAAGCCTGGTCTTGTTCTCCACAAGCTGACAGTATTATAACCTTCCGCTTTATACTCATATTCATACTGGTTGTTTGTGGGGTTGGGTTTTACGTTAAATTGATGTCTTCAGTTTTTGGTTGAATTTGGGTGATCAAATGACGCTGTTTTTATTTATTAGTGCGATAATTAAAATATTGAAGGAATTTTCGTTAGATGTTCTTTGCTTTTTTATCATACGTATGACATGTTTTAACATTTAACATGAAACAGGAAGACTATATACAAATACGATAAACCATTATATCAATTTGATTTCAATCTAACAAAAGCATGTCCTTGCATTTTGATTAATGCTGAGAGATATCAAAATTCGTCATAATTGTTCTGTGCTCCATGAAATAGCTTTGATCATCATTAATCACTCTATCATGCAGATTTCATTTTCATATTTTCTGTTCTAACTGCCACCCCAATATTAAAGTTTTCCATCGATATACCACGTTGGGTGTTTCTTCTGTCCATTATAGTGATGTTACCAATTCACCTAATCATTATCATTATAGTGATGCTACCAATTTACCTAATCATTATAGTGATGTTACCAATTACCTTATCATTATAGTGATGTTACCAATTACCTAATCATTATAGTGATGTTACCAATTCACTCAATCATTATAGTGATGTTACCAATTCACCTAATCATTATAGTGATGTTACCAATTCACCTAATCATTATAGTGATGTTACCAATTCACCTAATCATTATAGTGATGTTACCAATTCACTCAATCATTATAGTGATGTTACCAATTCACCTAATCATTATAGTGATGTTACCAATTCACCTAATCATTATAGTGATGTTACCAATTCACCTTATCATTATCATTATAGTGATGTTACCAATTCACCTAATCATTATAGTGATGTTACCAATTCACCTAATCATTATAGTGATGTTACCAATTCACCAAATCATTATAGTGATGTTACCAATTCACCTAATCATTATAGTGATGTTACCAATTCACCTAATCATTATAGTGATGTTACCAATTCACCTAATCATTATAGTGATGTTACCAATTCACCTAATCATTATAGTGATGTTACCAATTCACCTAATCATTATAGTGATGTTACCAATTCACTTAATCATTATCATTATAATGTTGTTACCAATTCACCTAATCATTATAGTGATGCTACCAATTACCTAATCATTATAGTGATGTTACCAATTCACCAAATCATTATAGTGATGTTACCAATTCACCAAATCATTATAGTGATGTTACTAATTCACTCAATCATTATAGTGATGTTACCAATTCACTTAATCATTATAGTGATGTTACCAATTCACCAAATCATTATAGTGATGTTACCAATTATAATGTTGTTACCAATTCACCTAATCATTATAATGATGTTACCACTTCACCAAATCATTATAGTGATGTTACCAATTCACTTAATCATTATCATTATAATGTTGTTACCAATTCACCTAATCATTATAGTGATGCTACCAATTACCTAATCATTATGGTGATGTTACCAATTCACCAAATCATTATAGTGATGTTACCAATTCACCTAATCATTATAGTGATGTTACCAATTCACCTAATCATTATAGTGATGTTACCAATTCACATAATCATTATAGTGATGTTACCAATTCACCTAATCATTATAGTGATGTTACCAATTCACTCAATTATTATAGTGATGTTACCAATTCACCTAATCATTATAGTGATGTTACCACTTGTTTCACCATTGTTGTAAAACAGATAAAGTTTATATTTTTTATATATATTTACAAATGACACACAAATGAATGACATATTTTGATACAAAATTAATCTTACACTTACAAACAGTAGAGTCAGACAATGAATAAGACTGCATTATGCTACATAGAAATAGTTAAAGATAATCTTTATAATTTCATCACAGATTGCAATTGTTCTAACATTTAAAATGAACCATTTTCTTTGTTAATTTCTACACCGCCACATTGGCCAATCAAACGTGACGTTACAAAGTAGCATAACGTAAAAATGTTCATTGAAAATGCTTTTGTCGTAAACGGTTGCATTTTAAGGAGACTAAACGGAAATGTTAAAGTAATCGTTGTTTAGGTCATATAATTGCACCGAATAAAAAGTTATAAGTAGAGTTTGTATTATAATATTAGTTCAATCAATTTATAGAAGCAGTTCGAATATTTGTAAAAAGTTATTTAATTTTCAATTTGATTCTTTTTCACCACATATATAAAGTAGTGAGGGACTTCATATTACAATGTACACCATTTCATACAGTATATAATGTCATTTCATATGACTCACAGTTTCACATATATATTTCCTTTTTTCAATATTTTAGCATTGCTGTAGTTTAAAGTTCTTGGAACTTCATAGGTATAAATTCCATCTATGCGCTCAGTACTTTTTCATATAAATTTATAGTTGATACAACTGGGCCAAGCAACAAAGCAAACCGCATCGTACAGTTGTTTCGTTATTCTAGGACTCGTCAGTGATGCTGAGTATTGAAAACCTCTGAGCCGACTGAAGAAAATATATAGCGATCGAAAGAAATATCAAAATGTTGATGTGGAGGTGCACTAACCTCATAATTAAATAGATTTAGCCATTTTTATTTGATAATTTCAGAAGAACCTTAAGAACGAGCATATTCGGAGCTGTGTCATTGTTTAGATGAAATCTACCATGATGTAAAGGTTACGGCTGATTTAATCTTAGAAATAAGTTGTCATCCAATCTCATTCAAACGCCAAGGGAAAGTTTAATAAAAGACTTTGCCATAGAGTTATCCACATAGTTTGTGGGTTTGAGACTAAATCCTCATAAATAGAGAGTTTCCGAGAAGTTTCTTGGTATTGAAAAGACATCAAACAATGCAAATCAATCATTTAAAAAGAGGCATACTTCTTGGATGATCTGATCCTCAGTGTAAGCTTTCTTGGGATTTCTTTCAGTATGTCTAAAGTATGCTAAATGAGATCCATTTCTTAGAAACTGTGATAATGTGTGATCGTTGATAAACATTCTTTTCGTAATCTAAATGCTCATTATGTCTTTTTCTTTATTTCATTCACATAATATATCTTTTCTTTAAAAATCATCATAATATTTATATCAAAGAAAATGTCAGTTTCATTTTATAGTCTGTAGTTGTAGTATTAAATCATCCAATATCAGATATTGAATATATTATGATTTTTATTATTATTATTGGTGAATGACAAAATGTGATTTTTTTTATTGATGATATGTAATTCTCAAGAAATATGTTGTGTGATGCACAAGTAAATCTAAGGTGTTGCTCCTCCTAAATATGACACAGTATATAGATTGTTTCCTGAACTTGTTATGAATAATCACTGTTACGTCTCGAAATGTTGGAAACCAATAAGTCGTGGCGTATTCCCTTCGTCACTTGATTTTGATAAATACTTTCATGTGTTTGGAAACGAATACACGATGTACAAATATATTTTGTATCAACATAGTTCAAATCTGATAATTATGGACTTTTCTTTAAATTTATTTCCCGGTGACAATTTTATAATCGTTACAACCGATGTTGACTTACTACTGAACTGTAGCTTAAATGATAATGTGATGATTGTTTGAGGTTTGGTTCTGATTTGTTTGTGCAAGATCACGTTCATTAATGGTAACCACTAACTTCAATCAAGATCGCGTACCTGGGGGCAGTTTGTCAAAGTAAACAATTATATGGTAACAACGGTGTTCTATTGTAAGTGTGAGCACTGTAGGTGTCATAACCTCGGGGCACTTTCTTTCTTTTATCTCACTTTACATTTCAACTTTAAATTTCCAGGTTTGATAACCTGACTTCTTGCGATCAGATTTAGTTCCAAGCTACAAAATGTTCATGTTACGACAAAGTATGCTCTGACTCTTTCATTGAGTTGTCTGGGTTTTCTTTTTTTTTTAAATCTGTCTATGTCCTCAGTTGATTTTGTCGAATTTATGGTTTACTACATTGTCTGACTCTACTGTATTCAATTCTAACGTTTTATTTAGACGCGTTATTCACTTGTTTTTCTTTTGTACGATCTTAAAGCCCGTTGCATTCAACAATGTTCAGCGACTGGGCCATTTTCTTATAAAGCCTGTACCAGATATACTCTTCACTCAGCTTTCAAACGTAATCACCAGTCGGTAGATATCATATGACTTCAGGATGCAATTTTCCAACTGATAACTTCTTGAACTCTTTAAAACAGATACTACAAACCTTCTTATTTTCGCTGTTATCTTATTTTAGCGCTTTTCGCTAAAACATTATTGCGCTAATTGTAGTTTTCGGTTTACCGCTTATTATAGAAATGATTTTGATTGCGTGAATTTGACAAAACTTCCGAAGTATTACACTTTAATTGAATCAGGCTAACGTACCCCTGGTAACTATTTAAATGTTATGTAGAGAACAAAAACCGTGGTACTTCATCCCCGCAGGTTTGTAGTGCTTCCTAGAAGGCCTACAATTATAATTAGCATACACAATAATATGTGGTGTTTCCTCGTATGTCAAGGTATTAAACAACATTTGACTGTTTTATGGTAATATTCTAGAGATAACAATTACGTCACAGCATTACGTTCTATCAACGTGTTTACGCGATCAATGCGTCCTTTTAAGAACACTTGTTGATCTAATGGAATACCACGAAGGTGCAGGATAACACATGCCTCAGGGACAAATAATTAATGTGCGTTCGTATATCGAGAAACAACACGATTGTACAGGTATAAGTTAAGGAAACAAGTAAATTTTGAAGTTATTGGATCTGATAATGTAACAGCGATGGAACGGAAGATTTTATGTCTACTTCTCGTGCTGCCTACTGTGGTGTCGTATTGTCATCAAGGTGTAAACTGTCACCTTCCCAACTGTTTCTGCCAAACCTACTTCCATCCTTTAGACCGACATATCATTCCTCAGATGGTGTATTTTGGATTCGATGATGGCGTCCGAGAACACGCCCTTCCCTCCCTAGACCAACTATTTGGAGAACCCCGAAAGAATCCGAATGGATGTCCTTTAAGCGTGACATTCTATGTTTCTGGAGATAATACAAATTATGGTATTCTGAAAGATTTCTATAACCGAGGCTACGAACTTGCCGCGCACAGTGTAACCCATGGACACATCACTAACGCTCGGCGACTCAAAGAAGAGGCAGAGAATCAAAGAAACAACATCGTTACTAAGGTACCTGGTGTCACAAAGGCTGCAGTGACAGGATGGAGAAGTCCTTACTTACTGACAGCTGGGGATGCCCAGGTAGATGTACTAAAAGACCTTGGATACACTTATGATATCTCACTAACGTATACAAAGAAAAAACTCGACAACCTAAACCCCTGGCCACTTACACTGGACTACGGTTGGCCTTTCAAGTGTTTAATTCCGCCTTGTGTGAACCACAGACATCCCGGATTCTGGGAGGTACCTGTGAATGCAATGAGGGACTACAGTGATGAAGACAACTGTGCGTATTTTGACACATGTAAAAATGAAACGGAAACTGTCCAGGAAACGCATGAGTACATCATGAATAACTTTTTGAGTCATTACAATGGTAACAAGGCACCATTTGGAATCCACATGCACGTAGGCTGGTTCAAACGTTCGGAAAACCTAAAAGCTATGGACAGGGCAATTGACGACATGCTATCCCACAAGGGCGTGTATATAATTAACGTTAAACAGGTCATCGAGTGGATGAAGAACCCAAAGAATTTAACTGAGTTGGATGATTTCCATCCCTGGACATGCTTCAAGGACCGAGAAAAATCTAACACGATGACGTCATCAGAAATACTCTTACTGTTATTTGTTGTCGCGGCGTTGGTACTTTACATTTATATCATGGTAAAATGGTTAAAGTTTCGAAAGAAATGATTATAGTGTAGAAGATATCATGTATAAACGAATACTAACCATAATTACACTGTACATTTTCCATTCTTGTTAAATATGGACGAGTTGATCAGAAAGTCACATTATTTAGGTTTGGCCTGTGGTCATATGAAACATCTTTGTTGACAACGATTAGAAAGTTTCTTTAAGAACGAATTGTCATATAATAACACATCGATCACTATATACCAGACAAGTTGATATTTCTGTTTTAGACTTCAGGTCATTTTTCGATGTTCGATTACGTCCCTTTGATAACTGAAGTTATATATATATATATATATATATTGTAATATTGTTGCTTTAGTTTGATTCAAAATAAAACATGATAGAATGTTTAAAGTGTCTATTATGTGAACCTTCGCCCGAAACCTTTCCTACCTAGCTATAACCCGTATTTCTGATATACTTTACACGTACAACAATGATTAATTCGGTCCTGATACTATAGATAATTGAGACAACCCATCATAAGCCTGCCTTCTTGTTACATTTCTACATGCAGATAATACCGCCACTCTCACACACTGTCCATCATATATACAAACTTATTTAAAATTGGATCAAACCAGAAAGGACGCCAACTTTCTATTTACTCTTGTCTAACTTTAAGGATAGTATCATAACGTTTATATTCCGCATACCCTTGCTGATATTACATACCGAAGTGAAACTGACTTGTTATCAGAATTTTAGTTCCAACTCAAATTTAATTTAACTGGGAACAAAAGAAAGATTAATACAGAGACTTCTGAAAAAGTAGGGAAGATCGCATTCCTAAATGAGAACAAGGTAAATAACAGCAGAACCACCAGACATACTAAAACGCATCGACGACATTCAAGCTCACATCAAATGTTTCCCAATTATATCATTATGACGACCCTAAAGCATTTCCCTAGTCTTCATCAGCCTGTATCGTTCGAAGTCCTGTGTTGTAAACTTTCGACATTTTGCACGAAAATTGAAATAATAGAAGATATGTATAGGTAGATAAATAATATTTATTTTTCTATTTTAAATAGGAAACATTCACGATCGTTATGATAAAACTAAAGACGATATCAATTTTGTGATACAGAATTTGGGATGCATTGGTTCAAGCTTCGTCCCATCCCTCACATCAGCTGTAAAAAGTATAATAATATTATGTAAGTAACCGGCAAGACTAGATTTTCGTTTATGACATAAAAATACAGCTTCGTTAGAGATGAAATTTTATATTATTTGCATATAGAAGTCCTCATCGTATCTATGTAAAAATGTCAACAATGACATCACGATGACGTCATCTCGACCTACTCACAAGTCAGTATTTTAACGTGTTGTTCAATCTATTTTGTGAGATGTCATTTGTAAGAATAAAAAAAACATTACCGTATGATGGCAAAAGAAAATGCAGTTTAACGATAAAGAATCGAATACATGGCTAATTAGCCACTAGACTTATTCTAGAAATAAGGTGTCTTGGAAGTAACTACGTAGTCAGCCATTGGAATGAAATCATCATAACACTAAAGAAAAACCGGCCTTAGTACTGTCGAAATGAATAGCACCGATACTCAGTTTACGATGTGTTTACTGTTGCTATGGAGTACATCGAAAACCATTGAAAATCACAAAATTTGGGAGCAGCATTAATACTGCTCGGTAAATTGTGCCGGCACAACCTTTTCCGGGTATTTGTCACTTAACTGGACACTTGAATGGAATCTGCATTAAATGTAATCAACAGCGGTATGTGGGAGCAGTTTTAGGATCCCAGTGTTATTATTTGTGTTTCTTCAGTGAAAAATGTTCCCCTGTTGGAAACCTGGCTGGTTAGGATATGATTGATAACTAATCTATAAGTTCTTTCACATATGGCTTTGTATTATCTTCAATTATTACTTGAATGATTTACCAAGACAAACGGGATTCAGGTAAGGTGATATACGGAAAAGAGTTAATGCAGCTCCATTGCTAGATCACGTGACCTATCGGAATGAACGGTAACAGCGTTATGCAGTGTATACAGACACATAGCAACCTTGTATCTAGGTAAGATACGCAGAAGATAATTATTTGACAAGATGATAAATAAAATCTTAGTCAACATTAACACCATGCTCGTGCAGTTTGTTTCAAATATCCTGAACCACTTGTAATTAGATTCGCTTTAATGCTCGGCGCTAAACATAAATAACGTTTCTACTATATACATATATATAATCAATCACTCAATTAATTTTATTTGGATTAATTCAACTCAATCAATTTTGTTTGCATTCATTCTACTCAAACAATTGGAAAAATGGCAAATATATATTTATATATATATCATAAAATTTCCTATAAAATTGTCCAAGTCAATGCCAATCACAGTATTTTGATATTAGACATGCATTTCAATGTGTCATATAAGACGGGACTCTTTCAGATAAAAAAAACAACACGAAAACACGTCATCAATATGATTTTACACAGGTTGGATTGCTAAGCAGGTTTGTAATAATTTTCAGGAAACTATTTTTTATAGAAATAAGAATCGGTTATCAGATAACGGCGATTCTGGTGGGTACTTTAAGAAAGAACATAGAACAAACTGCCATAGCAACGTATCTGAAATTCACTCATTTTGTGATAATTAAAGTGTTAATTTCGTAAATCAGTTTCGTTTAACTTTTGAAAGATGTCGTGTTACTCAAGCACTTAAATTCATTTCTCCCCGTTTGTCGAAAGGCTTGTTGGAGTTATCCACTGATAAGTGAAAATTCTAAATTTGTTGCCTTAGAAAACAAACACGGACTTTCACAGTAAAACGGACACTGTAAGAATATAAATCTGACCTGTCCCAACAAACCTATAGCAGTTTAATTCATATTTGAACATTTTCACTAACTACTGGTGAACTTAAACAAGCTTTGGGCAAACATGGCCTAATAAGTGTTATGTACAATGGACACAACTGGAGGCGTTTGTGATTTTTAATAATGAGCATTTATTATCGTTATGTTTGTAATTTGGCAGTGGTCATTCACATGTGCATCTTAAAGTTGTCGCAGACCTTTTGACTCTGATGGTGTAATACGTGGCAGTGACTCCAGGCCTTGTGTGACGCCAACACGTGTATTTCCTTAATAGACCATTAGAAATTATTTATGCACACCGTTAATTTACTTCGGGCATTCAAATATGGATTTTTTTAAAAATAACTCATTGTGTTGCATAATATTTAATGACGAGTAACCCGCCTCCAAGAAGTCATTTGTTGAACTCTCGAGCGGCTTAGGCGTAATTTAGTTAAATCACTACACATATTATTTTATTTTAAATTGTACTAAAATTCACCACGGGGATTGAAAAGATTTATGTATATTGATAATTAAAAAATTGAATCAGTCATGCATTGATTTGAACAGGATTTATCTCTTTGATATCAGACATGTATCACAGTCTACAGCACCACAGTACGCCGTCAAAGTCCTTGGAATTTGACTCAATGGTAATATCCTATCGCATCACAAACATATATCATATCGATCTGAAACAATCATATTATATTGTAACTAGTGTAAGTATGTTAATGTACTTTTTGCTCTAAATCTCATCACAATATCCGTCAGTTCAATCAAATATAATTCCATTACATTGTACTTTCAGTGTTACTTCTAACCCACATGTATGTTAAGAGCTAATTGTACTGACCAAGACAACCCTGCAGTACAGTACATTCCATCTTTCTGAAGATGAAATACTGACTATATCTGAGTCAGCTAAGGACCTGTAAAATATGACAAACTCAACTACATCAGTCGCATACTTCAAGTTTCACACTCGACGAAACCAACATAGCCAGATTCCCAGCAAGCAATGACTTTAACGAGATGGTTACGAATTCCCTATTGCGATACGAGGTTTGGTGTGTTTAATGTTCGTTAGCATTCTTTTTAATTTCGTTGACGTTAACCATATTCTCATTAGAAAGCATGAACTTCAATATTTGTAACTATTTAGTTTGACTCAGAATTACATGGCGGATGCAGTCGGTGGAGTAGAAGACGCTTACCTTTCCGGAACACCACTTCAGATTATCCTTGTACTTTTGGTCGTATTTTGTCTTCATGATGTTGTTTCCCGTGGATATTCAGATATGGATACCAAAGATTTTAATTTTCATCTATGTGATGATATTACCCTATCTCTGCTAATGAAATCCATTGTAAATCTACTGCAATGTGTAACACACTATCTTATCTCGTTTTAGACCTGGTGAGGTTCTGGTGCCATTTGTATAAGTTTATTATCAAGTTAATCATGTAATTACACATCGACTCCATGCCAAGAGTCAATTTTACTAGACTTTAAACAATGTAAAATTGTAAAAATATAACGTAAATGTTTTAATGTCAGATTACATAAGTATAACTCCTGAATTTTAAGACAAAACATGTAATTATTTCGAACCCCTTATACGTACATCATTTTAATCATGACAAATGAGTCTTATAGGATTAATGTTAACTTCCGATGGTCTGGAGCTTGAGCATTCTGATGTCTTTGTTGCTGACCAATCAGTATTATACGTCACGTAATGGTCTGGTTAAGGGCGTTATAAAGGACGACACTTACGTTTGATACACAAGACTTTCAACCACGGGTATATCACCTGAAGCCATGATCCACACTAGTGTGTATGTTATAACATTCAACCATTGTGATATATACGTATATATGAGTACACAATACTAACTACATGAATCAACAATGGTGGACCAACTGAGTGTCATCAACAACCGAATTATCATCGGCCTCGTCGTCCTCACCGTGGAAATCATCCTCGTCATTTTTGTTTCGCTTGCTCCAGATACATTCGACTCCTCTGCAGAGAAAACTTCCAAATTGGAAGAAAGTGACTTGAAAGGTTCTTGTGAGCAAGAGGTCAACTGTCGTCTGCCGGAATGTTACTGTAGTACATTTGAACACCAAATGAAACGACGCGATATTCCCCAAATGGTGTACTTTGGGTTTGATGATGGTATGACCGCTGACGCAGCCAAACATTATCGTTACTTGTTTCGGCCTCAACGCAGAAACCCTAACGGTTGTCCCATCGCCGCCACATTGTTTGTGGCAGACAAGTTCACGGACTACAACGTGCTAGGGGATCTGTATAGGCACGGATTCGAGCTGGCGGTACACAGTATGTCACATAAGAATCTTAAAACTGGAGAGGATGTCAGGAGAGAAGCGAAAGAAGAACGTGATAAAATCTCTTCGCTTACTGGTGTTCCGATAGAAGATATTGTTGGCTGGCGAAGTCCTAACCTCATCACAGCTGGGGACGCCCAAGACAGTGTCTTAAAGGAGCTCGGGTTCGAGTATGACATTTCATTAACATATGTTAGGTCGCAAATGAATGATAGTGAACCGTGGCCATTTACGCTTGATTATCCTTGGCCTTTCAGATGTCATATCCCAACGTGTCCTAAACACACACACAGAGGTCTGTGGGAAGTTCCTGTCAACTCTATGAGGGATTATAAAGACGAATTTGCGTGTGTTTATGTTGACGGATGTCTTAATAGACCGACCTCCGTGGACGAAGCTTATCGTTATATCATGGACAACTTCCATGACAATTACTATGGAAACCGCGCTCCTTTTGGATTCAACATGCATTACGCTTGGCTGTTAGTCCCTGATAATATGAAAGCTATGGACAAAGCAATGACCGACATATTGTTATATAACGATGTCTACATTGTTAGCGTCAAGAACGTGATCGAATGGATGAAGACACCGACATCACTTCTGAACATTTCTACATTTGATCCCTGGAATTGTTGATGCATGTTTCCTGTGTATGTACCGATAGTTGAACATTCTACTTTCAAACTGGCATTACTTGCCTTACCCCGAACAGTTTACTTCCAAGCGTTCTGATAAATGTTTTAATGTAACGATTCATGTTTTTTTCACATATTTATTGAATGAAATGTCTTTTTATCCCGAATGTTATACACGCTTGAATTAACACTGTAAATGTGCTGTCGTATAAAACGTCTAGCGCTATGCTGTACATTGGTATACCACACCAGCCATGTATTACCGAACATATGCAAATGAAGTACCATTACGGTGTCTATTTGGCTCATCATACATGTACGTTGTGATATTTATATATATATAGCAAAACTCGTTTTCGCATTTAACATCTGGTCTAATTCAATTGTCATTAATACAATTCGCTGTATACTGGAAATACCCATACGATTTTGGTAAGAAAAGCTTTACATACAAGCACGTTCGTATAATGCATCATAACATGGTTTGTCATGGCGTTAACGGACATCCTGCTTCGAACCCACTAGTCTTAACCGGTCATAGTTCACAGTTCGACACTTATTTTTGAATTATGCCTCCATTTGGCGATTACCTAACCAGGTCGCTAACTCACAGCACATGGCTATCATTCGTTGGGATTATATACCACGTGTATATGTTCTATGAACAGAAAATATCTGTGGTCAACAACGTTTGTTGCCGATTAACAACGCTACATCGGCGGCGTCATCATTACATATAAATATTACCTTGACCGCAAGCCACGAAGCAGACGACGTTTTAAGGTATGTTTCGAACAAAAACATTATTTTCCCTAAATTGTGTTTTCATATTCAAAAGAAATTCATTTGTAAGTAAAAAAATGATTTGATGAATAAGATAATACGTCAGAAAAAAGAGAAATCAGCTATCACATTCTGATAGATTTTATATTGTGCTTTGTGAGCGTGACCTTTAAGCAACTTTCCGATACTGAAGCTTTCAAACGCACGATTAACCAATATGGCGGTGAAAGAGAACAGACGAGATGGATTTGACATTAAATAGCAATGCTCCTGTGTGGTCAGGTCGTATCTACTTTCGTCACGATGAATTCAGATCAATTGTTTAGTCACTACAATCACCGACTTGAACATTCGGATTGTTTTATTAATACTTATCGAATTTCAGCACTGTTTGGTTCTTCTTGAATCATCAAAGTAAGTGGTACGAATTGACAGAGCAGGCGCGTTAAGAATAAACAGGACAATGATGTCCATAATTTGTATGTTATGATGAAAGATGGTCACGTCGCGGGGTTTAAATATAAATCACTTATAGGCGACAACGGATGAACAGATTTTAATAATTCCATCTTTAAACAATAGTTTTAGTACTGTTTAAATTTGGATACGGATGAGGAATTGTGGTTGAGGTCGACTTTTCCTGTTATATATACGTGTATATATATATGTTGTTAAATAGCTACGAACAAAGGCACTGGTACAATACTTTGTTTGTCCACGCACTGACCAGAAGTCATTTATTTGTGGAGTAGTCTCTATGCAGTTTAATGTATGTCGTACATTATATTTATGTTAATCGCTATTCCACAGAGCAGTAACGTTCTTATTCTTTACGTGATTCTCTGAGCGTATGTTAACTATAACGTCATTGGAAAATAACGTTTAGATTTGTTCTATAGCAGTTCTAATAATTAATGTTGGTGTTGTACAATAGTGCAAGGGTTTTATTTATTTATTTTTGCAATCTCCAATGAACTAAGAGTACATCAGAATTCCTGAAAAATAAACAGACAGTGTTGTAAGCAATGTATCTCATCTTCTGTTTGTTTTAATGATATGACACATCATAAATTGATAACAGAAAACACAAGGACTGGGAATCCAATGATGACAACAGATCATCAACCCCCCCCCCCCCCGCCCCATTAAAAATGTTCCGTTAACAAAAATGAAATTAGATAATCACGTCGACAAAATTAAAAATTCTCATTAGCATCTAAGCTGTATTTACACACACCAATATATCCGGAAAAAAAATGGGTGCAACTGAATTCAAAATTTAAAGATTTGACCTTTTTACAAATGAGAAGTCGAAAAATTTACACAGAGGAGTTGGGTTGTTCATGAAGTCAGAACAACACAGGGACGAAATAAACATGGGGAAACATTTCAAGGAAGAATTCTGAGGACGAAAGCACAAAGGAATTACTTTAACTGATAGCCGTGACATCTTCTGATAAAGCGTATTAACACTTATTAGTCATAGGCGATCGTAATTTGCCGAAAACATGCTGGAATTTGGTGTCAACCGGTATCGACAAGGGAACTGAAACTAGTTAGAAAAGGTAATGAGCCGAGTAGTGAAGATCTAGTTATAACAAATGAAAATGAACTGATCAGTGAAATTCACTACAAAGATTTGTATCTTCGTATTTCACTTCTATATAACAGCAGCACAGCGACCATGAAATTATGAGACATCCCTAGACAATAGATCGGAATCCTCAAGGGTTGTATAGAAGAAAATTTGTAACTTTAACATCTAAACAAGAGCATACAGTTATATACCCAAAAGTAAACTAAGCTAAAATCTAAAACGTCATTCTGTGTTTGGAAATGATAAACCCCGTCCCACCTCCCCGAATGAAGACACACGGCGTGGTGTCGAAAGATACTAAGTATATGTTCAGCAAAAAGTCAATTTTAAAAAAGAAGAGAGAGAGAGAGAGAGAGAGAGAGAGAGAGAGAGAGAGAGAGAGAGAGGCCAGAAGAGAAGTAGGGGAAAGTAGGGAAGATGATAAATAACAACATCTAAAACGTTTTTTTTCAAATTATGTAATCTCAAAATGGAAAGTAAATACAGGGACTTCAGGCTACACTGATGTTTTGATAAAGGAACAGAAATTTAAGCTTTCGTTTTAAACAAACTGTAATCAAAATGTAGTCGAAAACTCATTCAGTAATTTAAATGAAAACAAATGACAGAGACCAAAAATAATGTACCCAAAAAGTTTAAAAGAAATAACAAAAGTTCACCTTAGGCGCATATATCTAACAAACCATTATCAGAGAGGAAGCTATCTCAGACTTGGAAGAGGCAGACATAACTGCAACCTTCAAAAAACAAAAAACGGAGCAAAGCCTGGCCGGAAAATTACAGAATCGCAAGCCTGGCAAGTATGGTAGTGAAACACTGGAAAAGCTAGTTAGGGATAGTATTGTTAACCATATGGACAAAACATTTTAGTCTCAAGCAGTTCGGGTTCATGTTCGGAGACAATAGGGACACAAAAACAACAAAAAGTATCAACATGTGAACATAATCATAATCCAAACTAGATTCAATAAGTCTATGGCTCTATATGAACAAAGGAAAGATTCACACGGAGACTCATGAAAAAAGTACACGGATGATAAGACCAGGTGTTCCGGGAGAGTAAGCGTCTTCTGCTTCATCGACGACACATGTCAGGTAATTCTAATGTCACATTTCAAAATGAGATCAATGTATACAGCAACTGAAACAAAAGGCAAAATAGCCTGTCTAGTATCGTGTTATAAGAAATGGAAACAAGGTTATATATACAGATAAGCAGCGAGGATGTTGTTGAATCACCGAAGTCGAACAAATGGCCAATGAAATTCCATCCTAACATATGAAATGTTCGTAAAACAAAATAAAAATGAAAATACTAATGGAATTATCTGGAGGAGAAAGAATTCAACTGAAACATGTTACAAAGGACATTAGGATCATTGTAGGTGATGTTTTAAACTTCAAATCTAACTTACAGTAGTAATTGTCATTTAAGTAAACTGTCTGTGAAATGAGTTGACGTTCATATATGCTTTTTTATGTATTGTTCATACCCCAGTTGGCGTATATTGCGAGTGTTTCGAAACATCAGAGGTAAAAGATGTCAAACTCATTGAAGATGTGCAGAGAATGGCAACAAGACTTCTCCTGGATTTTAAAATATATCATACTTTAGACGACTTCTGATTAATATTGCTATAAAATCTGTTTCCTGTTTCCGTTCCTACTCCTTGATACCGACCAATCTAAATATGCGTTCTGGTTTTGCTGTTTTGTTTGCTGGCGATCTTCAGCAGCACTAGTACTCTAAGGCAAAATCATCTTAATTATGTATACTTCACAGGTATCTACACTGACCGATGTCAACCATTCTCTCGACTTGGGAAGGCAGCGGTCGCAATGCCATCGGTTTTGGCGATGAAACTTTCACTATAAACAAAGGTGAAATAAGATATTCCAAAAAAGTACGTACATTTTACACATCTCTACTGGATGTGATAATTCTGTCATTGCTTTAACAGATATTAATCAAACTTCGATTTGTTTTCTTTCGTTTTCCAGTTTCTTTTTATACCTTCCGCAACCAAGTTTGGAGTATATATAAATCACCTTTCGTGTCTGTTCAGAGTAGGCGTGATAATGCCGGTCCAGGGTTCTAGGGATGGCAGCAGACAATACAATTATTTTAAGATATTAAACGGACTTCAAAATACTCTAACACAAACCAAATTTAGCTACAGACGGTTCCATCCCATTGAGGGGGATGCAGGTCGACCCTCACGTCGCCATCGGAACACAGACGTTCGTCGGTGAGACGATACTCGAACACGGGAGGAGTCACCGAGACAAAAAAAAAACTGTTTACCAATTCAACCAACCAACTTGTTTTGAGTGTCATAAGGGGAACTCCTGCACTGTTCGATGGAATTTCTTTGAACCTTGATATCTGATAATACAAGAAAGAATATCTTTCCCTAAAATCAAACAGCATCACAGACTGCGATAATTTTCTCGTGATATACATATTCAACATTTAAACATACCTGGCCATCCCCTTATCAGCATGCGGTACTTCAGAAATCACCATAAAAATACATGCAAACATTAACAAATTCTACCTACCGATACGTACCCCCCCCCCCCCCCCCCCCCCCCACCTAAAAAAGATATACATTGTATATCTTACATGTTGCAGAATACAAGAAACTTTGTTTTCTAATTTGACAATATAAGTAAGACTAAAGGCCATAAAAAGAAATACTAAAAGGCGGTTAAATGTAAATGACAGGAAGCATTTTTTAGCTATCGAGTTGTTCATTTGTTGTATAGTTTACCAATACTGAGAATTTCAGGCAATTTGAAATGTGAAAATAATCAATATTCTTCTTACAGTAATTATATAACTTCCTCAAACCATTGGACTTAGGAAATTATCTAGATTGTGCTATGTTATTAATATGGATATAGAAGCCGACCACGTTCGTCATTTATGTAATTATAGATCACATTTAGTTGATTTTTATGTTTCCATTTTTTTTTTACATTTAGGAAGTATTGTTTGTCTCGTTTTTATATGTATATTTCTTTTTTCGTGGTGTTATTTCCTTTAGAAATAATATTGTCAAATATCGTAAATATAAGCAAACACTTTTTGCAGCACTGATTCACTGCAATATTAAATTGATAGAAATAAATATCCTTTTTTTATTTACAAGCTGAGGCCTGACTTACTCGATAAAGCCTCATTATCCGTCAGCATTCATTTTCATAATTAACCTTTAAAACATTTATTTGCTGTATATACAAAGTTTATTATAATCTATTGCGTCGTAATACGTTTTTAACGACTTGTATACTTTACAAATCATTCCGTTTCAATTAATCCGGCTTTTGGTTCTAATATTAGAGGGAAAATAATCATGGGTAGCAGTAAACAGTTAATTTGCATTTTTCCTGAAATTATTTGTCATGTTTGAGATATACAGGTATAGCAGATTGGTTATGAAAAATACATCATTACATGTATATATATTTATAAACTATATAACAATTACATTAACAGTAGAGAAATGAAATTTGTGTGAAAAAAAAATTTCCTCTGATTTCTGACATTTGATTGTCATGGTTACCTACTGAAAAAATGCTAAAAATGCAAAAATACTGCTAATTCCAACCCAACACTACAACTTTCTAGGAGAAATTTAATTCTAAACACCTATCTTACAATCAACAACACTGTCATGGTAACAAAGTACTTACATTTCAGCAAATTCCAACTCGGAAATTCTTCATAACATGACCACATGTGAACACTATGAAAATTTCACTTCCTGTAAAGCTAGTTTTTGGTGCGTAGACACAGATTCGAGACTGCCCAAATAGTAATCTCCAACACAAAGCTAAAATATTATCCTGAAAAAAATGAAACCCCACATTGTCCACTTTAACATGACAGGACCAATTTTAGCAAGGATTTTTTTTTTCAGTTTTAATTAAAACCTTTATAATGGGGTAATGTAATGAGCAAAAAAATCACCCATGGCTACACCGAGAAACTGTGTACTGCTACCATGGCGGCCGAGTTGTTGGGGTAAGCGATCAATCCTACAATTTTTCCTTCTTCAAGTTTTCTCAGTATATTTTTGCTACAAGTATGAGTTTAAATTGTGTTCTTTTCGCAATTTCAGTCGAGGAAACGATGAGTTTGTGAATGAAAATTACCAGAAAGCACTGCAGGTAAGAGTGTATCTTCGGGATTCTAGCAAATTCCAAACAAGACACTGCACGAAGTCAGTCAAGGAAATTGCAAGCATACTCTATTGCTGTCGTTTCTCAAACATCGAAGAGGTGTTATCACTATGGTCAACATCTTGTGAAAACATCATTAGTTGAAGAAGTGTGTTGAGTATTGAAATGCGATTTTAAATGACAGATAACTTGGTTTCTCACAGGAACAGGTCTTAGAAAAATGGACAATAAATACCTTTATATGAGGTCTGATATCCATATTTGGCAGCTATTACTAATTTTATCGTATAAGACTATACATGTTCCTGTGATATTCCAATTACTTACAATAAATGCCAGAAATCAAATCTGGTCCACAAATTACTAGCTATTACTATTTTAGTAGTTCGGTTTTCTTGTAGGTATTTATAAAAAAGACCTCTTGATGTAGTCGAGAATCTGTATATATATATATATATGTATAAATGATATGTCATAAGACCCTGTAACAAGTATAAAAAACTAATATAATCATATTTTCAAGCTATTCTCAAAACTTACAATCAAATGGAAAGTAACATGTACAAAACACGCTAGTGTGAAATAATTTATTTCACTTCATGTTATGACAGCTGCATATGTGAATCATATGATGTACGGAAATGTAAACATGTGTGTTTTGATTAAAAATACACTTATCTTTACATCAATAATACCAAATAAACTTCAGAAACACAAGTAGTACAAAGACCTACTGAAATTTTACATATAACTCAGAGCACTGTGCTTGAGAAGCATGACCCGACATGCATGAGGCATGTTCAAGTAATATAATTAACACTACAAATGATACAAAGCCTTTTGATACTTTCACATATGGTAAAAAATAGGTTACACCACATAAATATTGAAAGCTAGTTTTAAAAAAAATACAAGGAACCCATCACTAAGTAAATGTGACAAAGGTGACTGTCATTTGTTATGTCTGAGTTTCAGACCATGTTTGTCATGGGTTTTCGACATTCTGAGGCCAAGGATGACATCATTTTTATTGGTTGTTCTGACTTTGATACCATGTTTGTTTTCCTTTGTAGCTTTTTTCCGCCAACATCCTAAATAATATTCCTTTAGTGTTGTGATTATGAAAGTTCTATATAAAGCTTATGTTGATTGTTGATAAACAATGTAAAATTAGGTTCATTTCCACTTTTGTAATTATTAATGTCTTTATGAAAATCATTTTACTTTACATACAGCTCTACACAGAGGCCATCACTGCTGAACCTGACAAGGAGGAGGCATACTCTCACAGATCTCAAGTCTACATTAAGTTAGAACAGTTCAAGGGTGGGTATTTTGTAATGGCTCTATCAACAGAAATAGATGGTGATTATCCTTACTAAGTCACCAGACAGTTACTGATTCCAGTTGTTTGGAAATAATAAGTTTTATGTTTCAGTATAGCCGTTATATCAATTCTTACATTATACTGCATGTTGTACTATATAACTTGTCTGTTCATTAGAATGTAAGTGTTCAAAAAGTGCTGAAAAGTTAAGCTTAAAGTCAAAATATTACACATGTATCGCCTTCTTAAAAAGATTGTAGAGCCTCAAACATAGGTATTATGTTGGCCAAAATGTCAAATGCAAACTTTGAATTTGGGTTATGATTGTATGTTGCTGTTATCACTATTCTTATTTAATTGTATTCTTCTACCGATATCACCTGTCATTGTCATAAGTCATTGTTACTCAGCTTGCCTTTTGAAATGACTACTTGTATATTAGTATCAATGACAAAATTGTGTCACATGTACCTGTTGAACTGTCAAACTTTGCATTTATGTTTGTAGAGGCAGAACAAGATGCTGGAAAAGCCATAGAAATAAATCCAAAGAACAGTAAAGCCTATTTTAGGAAAGGGTAAGTCTTCAAACAGTATGGCCTATTTTAGGAAAGGGTTATTCCTTGAACATTAAAACCTTTTTTAGGATAGGGTGAGTCTTCGAACAGTAAAGCCTATTTTAGGAAAGGGTGAGTCTTTGAACAGTATAGCCTATTTTAGGAAAGGGTAAATCTTCGAAACAGTAACAGAAAGCATAAGCATTAGAAAATTAAATTTTACATTGGGTATTGGGGCTGAGAGTGAAGAAGAGGTTATGATTCCATATACCGGTATCAGAGTGTTGCTTAAAGATTAGAGAAATTATGTATGATCCCAAGTATTGATTGAAATTGTAAGCAGAAGTGAAAAATTTGTTGGATATGAAATGCTGTGTAAAATTCTTACTCATCGTCCAAGTATATTATGTGTTAATGAATTAAGGTAGAGTACAGTATTGTGTCATATTTCAAAATTGATTCATTCAGTGCTTCAAGTCCACTCTGCTATGTAAATTTTGATGTCAATAGGCTACTTACCATGTAAATTTTTTTATCACAAGTTCACCTTTCTGTGGTGATGGGATGATGACATAATAGATTATGTAATAATTTCACCTCATCTGATGTGTATGATGGATTGTAACCTTGGTACCTTAAACTTTTCTTGTGCATTAGCAAAAACAAAATCCATGATATGAATAATAAAGATGCCATTTGTCAATAATATTCATTCTTATGGAATTCAAGGTATGTGAGGTTTTAATAGCTTGATATTTAATCAGTTAAGTAACTGGAGGGTCAATCCAGTTATCAATTGTGGATTAACACTAATTTCCCGTTACTGTCTTTATGTGTGCGACGTAATTATTTGGCTATTGACATGGTCTGTATCCTATAGGTACTCACTACAACTTTCAGTCCTCATGCATGTATGACTGAAGAATTTTGATGTATTATGTTTAATTGTATAACTTTGTTTTTACTGATGTATGTCTGACTATACTGTAAAAATCTGTGTTGTCAAGAAAATTATACTGGTAACTAGTCTAGTTTTGTATTTTGTTATAAATTGTACAGAACTTTTTTGCAACTTTTATAGTTTAAAATTGTACAGGACTGACTGGTAACACTCCTTGTTATAAATTGTACAGGACTGCTTTATTCCACCAGGAGAGGTATGCTGCTGCGAAGGAATGTCTCCAAATTAGTTTATCATTAAATAGTGAGTATTTTGTTCGACAACATTTGTTACTGGTACACAGGTTTATCATGCTTCATGCAAATTTTCAGAGGAGCATACAGTCATAGTTTTGTCATCTGTTGGTCTTTCTGTTTGTCCTTTCTTGCCCGGAGTATAACTTTTGCCATAGTTAAGAAAGGATCACAAAACTTGGTGTAAACATTGGACATACTGGTGTACAAATGTCAGGGCATTTAACCCAATTACAGAGTTAGTGCCCTTTGTTGTCTGGCAGCATGTTCATGTTGGTCTGACCTTGTGAACACTTTGGCCTATAACTTGTTATTGCTTCTAAGATTTTTGGATAAGGATGATGTTTTACTTGTACATGTGACTAGATAGCTTATCACATGTAACACAGGTGACAATAGAGTTGTGACAAACATTACATTTGATTAGAAATTTTGTGACATGTAACTTACATGACAATAGAAACGTATGACAAAGTCTAAGGCCGAGTCTAATGTGACATAGTTGTAATTGGTGTGGTACATTGTATGTAGCTGAACACTCTTAAATGCCATTATCAAAGATAAGGACATGTGTCATTAGAAGATGTTTTCGACATAGACTGACAGGCACAAAATTACCAACTTATGTTATTAAGCCTTTACTTTGTTCTAAATGTCAGGGTTATGTGCAAACTTTAAAATGTTTGCGATGAGGTGTAATACTATCAGACTCATAATATCATGGCCATGTTACATAAAACCCAAAAGGTCAAGATATGCAGCAAAATGCTTACATGGTCAAAATAAGGTGTGTAATACTTTTCCATCACTTTACTATCAGATATCATTTGATGAAAAAATGTTTTCTTGAAAAGTTCCTGCTTATACAGAGGTTTTCAGCCATATTTCTTAAAAGTAAACTGATAAAATCTTCATCTTTGTTTGCAGCTGAGGACAATAATATAAAAACACTTCTGCGAAAATGTGAAGCAGAAATAGACTGTAAGTCCACTTTTTAAATATATCACTGTTTCTGATGAATTATTTTGAGGAATAAGATTTGGAACTTCACCTAATTCAGAGAGTAACATGATTGTATATTTTAAAGATTAAATAATGTTTTCACTTATAGGTAACATATTGTTTTTTGAAGAATATTCTCTTTAACAGGTCATACTTACAAAGATGAATAGATTTATATATTAACTTCATATATATTTTGAATGAATTGTATGTTGTATTCTTCAATGCTTTTCCACATTTGTAGTGTGCAAGTCAGGAGAATCCCAGGGACAATCACAGGTAATGTAACCAGTGTTATTTACTTTCATTTTGTTTTCAGATGATAACATTAACCTTATTGTTTGTACTGGATAGAAATCTTCTACAATTGTCTGTGAAACTTTTGTTAGAGGTAAATATAATTTGTAAAATCATAGAAACCACTTTACTATCTTGTAATACAGGAAGGCAGTGATTTTTAATGTTTATCTCTGTGAATGTGAAGAAAGAAAAAACCTATTTCAATCTACATAAAGATTTTTAGAATCTTGGAAAAAGTACATGATACTCTCTATCTTGGAGAAATTCCTGTATTTTACAGGTTCATTACTGACAATTTTTTAAAAAAATTCATTCTTTCAGATTTCTATTGGTACATCGTCATTAAACACCTCACCAGAGGCTCCTAAGGACAGGGCTGGTCCTACTGTAACACCATCCACCAACGCATCACCTGTGATCACCATGCCGACAGGATCACGGACAAGGTACATACATAATATATACTTGAAGTATTTGTTTGGTTTTTTTGTTTGTTTTTTTTCTAATTTACATGTGTGGTAGGCTTGTTTGTTTTTTTTCTAATTTACATGTGTGGTAGGCTCCTTCTAAAATAAGACTCCTCATGCTCTTCCTCTGGCCAACAAGAGTGATTAAATCTTGAAATCAGTTACTTCACATAAATTAAGTTCATATTGTTAAGAATTTAATGGCACTAGAATCTCTCCATTCAAGTTCACTTCAAATCTAGTCACTGATTGGTTATTTTAATGCAAGGTAATATGGTCTCTGTGATTATTTGATTTGCACTGTTTTGTGTCATCATTGTCTTTAAGCCCTGAAAAATATTGGCTCAATTTCATAATTATGTTTTTCTCTATTTTAAGTGTACATTAATTTCCTCAAAAATTCTAACTGTAAACAACATTGGTCACATTTAAATGATATCAAAGGTTTGTAAATTTTGTATTACAACCATATTTGGATGACACTACTTTAGTGCCAGTAAATAGTCATATTATCTATAACTCCGGAGTTTGTAACACATATCTTTGTAGACCCAACATTGTTATATTTCAGACCAAATTACTAAAGTTGATCAAATGGAACCTGAACTGCACAATATTTCTTCTTTGGCATACCTACTTTGAGTCTTTTCCCCTGACTCTTAACTAGACCTAGTGCTCTTTCTTGGTTTTAGTCTAAATCCAGAATATTTTCTACTAGTGATAGATTATACATATCTGTCTTTCCTCTTCTTTCCTCCAGATCAGTTTGAAAGTCATTCAGGCATTTAACATTGTTTTGGACCTGCTGTTATATTTAGATGTGACATTGTCTTTAACAGTGACTTGTCTCCTTTGTAGGTATAACCAGGTATTTAACTGTCTATTTTTGTAGCTATTACCACAGATGTGACTATCTGTTTTTGTAAATATGACCAGGTAGTTAACTGTCTGTTTTGTAGGTATGACCAGGTAGTTAACTGTCTGTTTTTTGTAGGTATGACAACATATGTGGCTGTCTATTTTTGAAAGTATGATCACGTATGTGACAATCTATTATTGTAGGTATTACCAGGTATTTAACTGTTATTTGTGGGTATTACCACAGATGTGACTATTTTTGTAGGTACGACAACATATGTGACTATTTTTGAAAGTATGATCACGTATTTGACTATCTATTTTTGTAGGCATGACCAGGTATTTAACTGTCTGCAGGGCTCTTGATCTGCCAGATTTGGGGCTGATATTCGGCCCCATTCCCAATGCAAAATATTATCTTTTTTCCCAATTTAGACCTCAAGTTTTCCCAATTATAAGGAAAACGCTGTTATTTTTCCCAATTCTAAGGGCCCCGGGCCCCAGTCCCAAAATGGGGTGTGAGAGCCCTGGTCTGTTTTTTGTAGGTATGACAACATATATGACTGTCTATTTTTGAAGGTATGATCACATATTTTTGAAGGTATGATAATGTATGTGACTATCCATTTTTGTCGGTATTACCAGGTATTTAACTATCTGATATTTGTAGGTATGACTGGTATCAAACAGAGACAATGGTGATAATCACCGTTATGATAAAGAAAGTTCAGAAGGATGATTGTCAAATAGAAATCGGCGAACAGTCAGTAAGTAATCACTGATACTATGACAAACAATATTAATGAATGTAAAAAAATCATATGTTACCATAGTTACTGACACGAACGCCTCCACAAACAATCTGTATATAAACATAGTAACTGCCACATACACCTCCACAAACAATCTATAAGTAACCATAGTTACTGACACATACACCTCCACAAACAATCTGTAAGTAACCCTAGTTACTGACACATACACCTCCACAAACAATCTGTAAGTAACCCTAGTTACTGACACATACACCTCCACAAACAATCTGTATGTAAATGTAGTTACTGACACATACACCTCCACAAACAATCTGTAAGTAACCATAGTTACTGACACATACACCTCCACAAACAATCTGTAACCATAGTTACTGTCCACAAACAATCTGTAAGTAATAGTTACTGACATACACCTCCACAAACAATCTGTAAGTAACCGTAGTTACTGACACATACACCTCCACAAACAATCTGTAAGTAACCATAGTTACTGACACATACACCTCCACAAACAATCTGTAAGTAACCATAGTTACTGACACATACACCTCCACAAACAATCTGTAAGTAACCATAGTTACTGACACATACACCTCCACAAACAATCTGTAAGTAACCATAGTTACTGACACATACACCTCCACAAACAATCTGTAAGTAACCATAGTTACTGACACATACACCTCCACAAACAATCTGTAAGTAACCATAGTTACTGACACATACACCTCCACAAACAATCTGTAAGTAACCATAGTTACTGACACATACACCTCCACAAACAATCTGTAAGTAACCCTAGTTACTGACACATACACCTCCACAAACAATCTGTAAGTAACCATAGTTACTGACACATACACCTCCACAAACAATCTGTCCACAAACAATCTGTAAGTAACCATAGTTACTGACACATACACCTCCACAAACAATCTGTAAGTAACCATAGTTACTGACACATACACCTCCACAAACAATCTGTAAGTAACCATAGTTACTGACACATACACCTCCACAAACAATCTGTAAGTAACCGTAGTTACTGACACATACACCTCCACAAACCTGTAAGTAACCGTAGTTAATCTGTAAGTAACCATAGTTACTGACACATACACCTCCATAAACAATCTGTAAGTAACCATAGTTACTGACACATACACCTCCACAAACAATCTGACACATACACCTCCACAAACCACGTAGTTAACACATACACCTCCACAAACAATCTGTAAGTAACCATAGTTACTGACACATACACCTCCACAAACAATCTGTAAGTAACCCTAGTTACTGACACATACACCTCCACAAACAATCTGTAAGTAACCATAGTTACTGACACATACACCTCCACAAACAATCTGTAAGTAACCCTAGTTACTGACACATACACCTCCACAAACAATCTGTAAGTAACCGTAGTTACTGACACATACACCTCCACAAACAATCTGTAAGTAACCCTAGTTACTGACACATACACCTCCACAAACAATCTGTAAGTAACCGTAGTTACTGACACATACACCTCCACAAACAATCTGTATGTAACCGTAGTTACTGACACATACACCTCCACAAACAATCTGTATATAACCATAGTAACTGCCACATACACCTCCACAAACAATCTGTAAGTGACCATAGTTACTGACACATACACCTCCACAAACAATCTGTAAGTGACCATAGTTACTGACACATACACCTCCACAAACAATCTGTATGTAACCATAGTTACTGACACATACACCTCCACAAACAATCAGTATGTAACCATAGTTACTGACACATACACCTCCACAAACAATCTGTATGTAAACGTAGTTACTGACACATACACCTCCACAAACAATCTGTAAGTAACCATAGTTACTGACACATACACCTCCACAAACAATATGCAAGTAACCGTAGTTACTGACACATACACCTCCACAAACAATCTGTATATAACCATAGTAACTGCCACATACATCTCCACAATCAACATGTCAGTAACCATTGATACTGCTACAGAGACCATCACAAACATTATGTTAGTAACCGTGGTAAATATTTTAAAATAATTCTAAAATAATGTTGGTCATTATACTTACAGGTGAGTGTTTGTATCAAACTACCCACAGGAAGTGACTACACCTTGGAACTTGATCTCGCCCACAAAATCATACCAGACAAATCCTTTTTTAAAATCATGTCTACTAAGGTAAGACTAATCATATGAAATATTTTTTTCATTCTTTACCATATATATACAGGTGTACTGCACCTCAGGGTGAAAACTTTAATTTTGTGTATTCACAACAAAACTAAAACAAGTTTAATCAAATTCATTAGTCAATCTAGCTGTCGTTTGTGAACAAGCAAAATTAGGGAATGTAGAGAAGCTGGACTTCTTTGTTTCTCATGATTACATTATAATATGGAAATCTGAACCCAGATTATACTGATTTTAATTATTTTTTGTTGTTGTATTTTTGGGACTAAATTTGGAGAAATGATTACAATATCACTATAAATTTTGGTGTATTCAGCATATAGCTTAAAACTTAGAAATTGAGTTGACTGAAATTTTGTAAAACTTTCATCTTGTTTTATCATTTGATTGGTTGATAGGTTGAAATAAAACTTAAAAAGGTAGAGGGAGTACGCTGGACAATGCTGGAGGACGATGGCACATCGTCTCAAAACATTAAACATTCAGTTCCAATGGAAACAAGTAAGTCTGTAAGGGGCACAAGTAAGTCTTTAATGGGCACAAGTAAGTCTATAATGGGCACAAGTAAGTCTGTAATGGGCACAAATAAGTCTGTAATGGGCACAAGTAAGTCTGTAATGGGCATAAGTAAGTCTGTAATGGGTACAAGTAAGTCTGTAATGGGTACAAGTAAGTCTGTAATGGGCACAAGTAAGTCTATAATGGGTACAAGTCTGTAATGAGTGCAAGTAAGTCTGTAATGGGTACAAGTAAGTCTGTAATGGGTACAAGTAAGTCTGTAATGGGTACAAGTAAGTCTGTAATGGGTACAAGTAAGTCTGTAATGAGTAGAAGTAAGTCTGTAATGGGTACAAGTAAGTCTGTAATGGGTACAAGTAAGTCTGTAATGGGCAGAATAAGGTTATCATTAACACAAGTCTGTAATGGACACAAGTCTGTTATGGCATCCTTTTATCATTAATGTTAAAATGAGTAAAGATTGGATATATTAATAACAAAAGTGTTTGAAGACAATTTGTTATATTTTTTTGGCCAACAGTAAGTCTAAACAGGACACAAGAAAGTCTGAACCGGCCATTAGTTAGTCTGTAATTGCATTAATCTCCATCTCACATCAATGTGTAAACATGTTTACAAAGATTGTACACAACACACATAAGTGAATGGCACATTTTCATAACTTAGATAAGTGATGCTAATGGCCTAAATTTACAAAAAAATGACAAAACATTGCAATTATTGACGAAGATTTGTTGACTACAGTTAAGTCTGTCATGTCATTAGTTCTATTGAGACTTGATATGAAGAAAAGTTTGTACATAGTGTTGCTAAACCTTTGACACAAAACACAAAAATTGGGAGATTTTCTAATGCAATATATCCTTGAATAGACACACCTTAATCTGCAATGAATGTATACTCACTGGTGACTCACTGCTGTATTGATGAACTTTGACAAATATTGAACTCATTTGTGATCTCACTCATATCAAGCAATTCAAAATTTGGTTCGAATCTAGCAGTGAAGATAAATATATTTGATGGGAAGGGAGAAATTATCTGTTGAAATATTATGGCCAAAATCGAACTAATCTGAGATCATAATAATATAAAACATTTCATCAAATTTGGTCAAAATCTTATTTCAAGACTGGAAGTTATTTAACAGATTAGAAAAAAGTCTATTTGAACTTTGTATTTTGAAGTCCAGTAAAATTGGCATATATTGATGTATTTTGATCAATATCAAGCTCATCTGAAATCATATTGATGCAAAGCAGAGTACCAAATGTGGTTCCAATCTGACAGCAAAATGAAATATTATTAATAACTGAATGAAGAAAGGATCTTATTTAAGAATTTGAAATTGATTTAGACTAATATCAAATTCATCTGTGATCTTACTGATATAACGCAAGGTACCAATTTTGGTTCAAATCTGTTGAATAAAGTTATTCAACAGAAACCATAATGACAGACAGACCAGAAACAATATGCCACTCAATCTTTTATCATGTGAGCAAACAAATCTGCAGAAATGATTGTGTATTTCTAAAACAAAAATATCACATACAATTTTTGAGACTTTTTTCAACCACCCGCAGATTCTGAGAGTGACCATGCGAGCAAGTACCCGTCTTCCAGTCATTACACGAGAAACTGGGACAAACTAGTTACAGACATCACAAAGGAGGAGAAAGATGAAAAGCCGGAAGGTGATGCAGCACTTAACAACCTTTTCCAGAAAATTTACGGGGATGGATCAGATGAAACAAAGAAAGCAATGATGAAATCCTTTGTGAGTATACATCTAAGATTATAGGCTTCATTTATCTGTATCTTCCATAATTAATCACTATGTAATGTTTGTGAGATAAAATAAATCCATACAAGATTTCAAAGAATCTGCAGTACCACTTGAGGATTGACGAATCAGATGATATCGATTTGATGTCGGTCTGTAAATGTCCATTATGACTTAGTACACAAGCATACAGCAGCCTCTGCTCTGTATCTACTCTTCATAAGTGAAATGCATCAGTTGGCAAATCCTTTTATTGCCCGCCATTTTATGTAGAAGAGGCATATATTGATACCTATGTGCATCTGTACTGATCCATCCCACTGCACTGCATCCCATTCCAACATCGTATCTTGAGAACCTTTCAACACATTTGCTTTATGTTTACTCCATAGCATCATAACCTCAAGTTCTACACCTTATCAGATTCTGATTTCAATGGGAACAGGGATATTTATGTTTTATAGACATTTTCTACTTTCATGTTTCTCTGTAACATAACCTACAGGGAAAAGAATGATGAACTGTTGATGGGTAATTGGAAAATTATGCTTAAGCTGGAGAGTTTTGACGTTTTTCGTTCCATTTCAGTATGAGTCTGGTGGAACAGTTCTTAGTACTAACTGGAAGGAGGTAGGTAAGGAAAAGGTGGAAGTTAAACCGCCAGATGGTATGGAATACAAGAAGTGGGAGACATAAGTTTACACATCACCAGCACAACTTCTGCTTCACAGCTATAATGACCTGGATAGCAGCAGCAATTCAATGCAAATTCTTTATTATACAGTCAAGAAAACAAAGGTATTTCAAAGAAATACATGATACAGATCTGAAACTGTAATAAAATATGAATGGTTGACAACGACTTGAAATTATTTTGAATTCTCTTGCATGGTGGAGCATATGTGGTTAAGTTACCATTTAGACAACGGAGCCTTATTATTTTATTAGCCCATTATCATTTGTCCCGCTGTCCTTGGATTGACAAATTATTTTTTTGATATGTAAATGTGTTCCAGTAATTCAACATTCTCTTGACCCAATAATTAAAACTCGAAACAACAGGGGTGAAATGTCACATCATACCTTCCAGGCTTTTCTGTCCCAGTCATTACCGGTTTGCTGCTCTATGTATCATATACAACTGTATGAAGTTCATTAAAGTATGATTAAAAATCAGCCTTTATTTTTTTTTCATTGAATTCGCTTTAAGTTGAATGGAAAGTTTTTATCTGAATGAAAGGTATGTTTCATATGGTGTTACAACCGGTAATAATTAAGTTTTTTTTTATGAAATTAGATTTTTGTGTCGCCTGCAGAGCAAAGATTTCTGGACTTTTTTGGCTATGCTTTGAGTTATCGAAATGAAATTTTGTATATGGCTTCTTATTGCAAGGGTACAGATTAAGTTTGATTCCTGGCTGTCTGTGACCCTTCTTGGCTGAGTTATGCCCCTTTGAACTTAGAAAATTTCTCAGGAATATTGCTTTTTGGCTTATGCTTTGAGTTATCGAAATGAAATTTTGTATATGGCTTCTTCTTGCAAGGGTACAGATTAAGTTCGATTCCCGGCTGTCTGTGACCCTTTTTGGCAGAGTTATGCCCCTTTCAACTTAGAAAATATACTTCTAGTTATAGAATTGTAATTTGGTATTACAACTTTATGGTTGATCGTTGCACATCTAGTTCAATTTCTGGGTGACCGTGATACTTAATGCAGGCGACACATACAGTTCCGAGGAACTCTTGTGTTGTCAGAGGCTAGATATTAAATTGTTCCTTGTATTTATCATAAAGGTCATCAGCCATAACGAAATCCACTTTGTCCGAAACTCGTTTACACCCTGTAATTGAAAATAATTGTTCCTTTTCTGGATAGTATGACAGTTGAGAAGCAATTTCACGCACATCCCTATCAACTACCTTGTCACGATTTGGAAAATACTTTCGTGCAATGAGACAGTCGATAATGCATTGGCGAATATGTTTACGTTCTAAAGGTAAAAATGGGATGTGAGCGGAGACCATTTGATGAAGGAGAAGACCGCTATGCCATAGTCCACCTATAAAAATAAAATTAAAAAAGCAAGCTTCATCAAAAACTAATTCATTTGTTAATTAGAACATATTTAGCTACAGGGGTATTAAGGACACAACAGACTCTTCTGCATAAGACGCTTATTTCCATTTTTTTTACAATAAAACCAACACTATGGATAGCTTTCTACCAAGCTGTCTGATAAACGTGATCATTTTAATTTCCTTAATGTGAACTTTCCATTTCTGGATAGCATAAATCATTCTTCCCCTACCTTTGATGTTTGTTCCCATTATCACGATTTTCGTGGAAGAAGTCAGCGACTGACTTAAAACTCGTGAAAGATGTTAGTTGATGAAAATCACGAGGAAGATTTATGGTCGCCATTATGATATCATTGAGAAATATTATATTTCTCTGCGACACAAAGAGAACCTAACATCACTTACTTGGATTTAATAATACTTACATGGACATGGCGGGTCTTTCTTACGGAACACTTGGTACAATTCTCCTTTTTGTTCATATTTTGTCCTAGTTTTATTGAATTTGAGGCTGAATTATGATAATGTTGATATTTTGGTTTTTGTTGCCAAATAGGTAAATAGGGCAGATTTAAAACTATTGTTCAGAAGGATTATCCAGATTTTGTCACATTTTGGTTAAAAGCATGCTTACGTTCAGGAGAATAGGTTTAAATTGAACTTGGTCTAGGTCAAAATGTGCGATGAAAACTAACCTGCCGCTCCAAATACACTCTACATGCATGTCAAACCTGATAACATGATGAAAACTACCCTGTCGGTCCAAATACACCCTACAAGCATGCCAAAACCTGACAACGTGATGAAAACTAACCTGTCGGTCCAAATACACCTTACAAGCATGTCAAACCCGATAACATAATGAAAACGACCCTGTCGCTCCAAATACACCTTACAAGCATGTCAAACCTGATAACGTAATGAAAACTACCCTGTCGGTCCAAATACACCTTACAAGCATGTCAAACCCGATAACGTGATGAAAACTACCCTGTCGGTCCAAATACACCCTACAAGCATGTCAAACCCGATAACGTAATGAAAACTATCCTGTCGGTCCAAATACACTCTACATGCATGTCAAACCTGATAACATGATGAAAACTACCCTGTCGGTCCAAATACACCCTACAAGCATGCCAAAACCTGATAACGTGATGAAAACTATCCTGTCGGTCCAAATACACCCTACAAGCATGTCAAACCTGATAACGTGATGAAAACTACCCTGTCGGTCCAAATACACCTTACAAGCATGTCAAACCCGATAACGTGATGAAAACTACCCTGTCGGTCCAAATACACCCTACAAGCATGTCAAACCCGATAACGTAATGAAAACTATCCTGTCGGTCCAAATACACTCTACATGCATGTCAAACCTGATAACATGATGAAAACTACCCTGTCGCTCCAAATACACTCTACATGCATGCCAAACTCGATAACATGATGAAAACTACCCTGTCGGTCCAAATACACCCTACAAGCATGTCAAACCCGATAACGTGATGAAAACTACCCTGTCGGTCCAAATACACCCTACAAGCATGTCAAACCCGATAACGTGATGAAAACTACCCTGTCGCTCCAAATACACCCTACAAGGATGTCAAACCTGATTACATGATGAAAACTACCCTGTCGCTCCAAATACACCCTACAAGCATGTCAAACCTGATAACATGATGAAAACTATCCTGTCGGTCCAAATACACTCTACATGCATGTCAAACTCGATAACGTGATGAAAAGTACTCTGTCGGTCCAAATACACCCTACAAGCATGTCAAACCCGATAACGTGATGAAAACTAACCTGTCGGCCTAAATACACTCTACATGCATGTCAAACTCGATAACGTGATGAAAAGTACCCTGTCGGTCCAAATACACTCTACATGCATGTCAAACTCGATAACGTGATGAAAAGTACCCTGTCGGTCCAAATACACCCTACAAGCATGTCAAACCTGATAACATGATGAAAACTACCCTGTCGGTCCAAATACACCTTACAAGCATGTCAAACCTGATAAAGTAATGAAAACTACCCTGTCGGTCCAAATACACTCTACATGCATGTCAAACCCGATAACGTGATGAAAACTATCCTGTCGGTCCAAATACACTCTACATGCATGTCAAACTCGATAACGTGATGAAAACTACCCTGTCGGTCCAAATACACCCTACAAGCATGTCAAACCTGATAACATGATGAAAACTACCCTGTCGCTCCAAATACACTCTACATGCATGTCAAACCTGATAACATGATGAAAACTACCCTGTCGGTCCAAATACACCCTACATGCATGTCAAACCTGATAACATGATGAAAACTACCCTGTCGGTCCAAATACACCTTACAAGCCTGTCAAACCCGATAACGTAATGAAAACTAACCTGTCGGTCCAAATACACCCTACAAGCATGTCAAACCCGATAACGTGATGAAAACTAACCTGTCGGCCTAAATACATGTACGAGAATGACAAAACTCATTGATGTCTTGAATCGGTCCGAATATACGCTCTGAAAGCTAACCCGTCTATACAAATACGTTACAAACGTGCGAAAACTCGATAACGTCGTGAAAACTAGTCCAACAATCAATAAACACAAAGCACAAGTATGCCAAAGCTTGATTACGTGAAAATTAATCCGTCAATCAGAATATACACTGTACAAGTAAGCCAAAACTTGACAAAGTCATGATCACTGATCCATCAATCCAAATGCACAATACAAATAATAATAAGAAGCTTTATTTATATTATAACAATTGCGAAATAACTTATTAATTACTCTTGTTGTCCCGGATGGAAGCGCACGAGGGGTCTTACTGTGGGAGGAAACCAGATAACCCGGAGAAAACCCACGTGGTCGGGCAGGTGACCCAATACTATTTCACATCCATTTCGGGAATTGAACCCCGGACGGCAAAATACGCATTACAAGCATGTCAAAACACGATCATGTCATAATATCACACACACGATGAGACGTTGACAAGCCATAGGTTTAGGGTGTTGCCATGGACGCCATAATGGATATCGCGAGATCTCGATAACATCATTTCATAAGATGAATTCGACATCAATAGTGGAAAACAAAGCACAAAAATAGTGAGTGGATAGTAGAGAATTTCTATTTACTGAATGAGTTGGCATTTAAAATAAAAAATGTCGCGAGAATGTTAACCTAATATCAATGGCTGAAACAGTTTTGAGGACTAAGTCATGAAAACATGAATTAAAGTTATACTATGGAAATCGTCAGTAATCGAGATTCTTTAGTCAATGAACTGCTGTGAGGACTGCAAGGGTTCTCCTTCTTGTTCACAACATGAACACAGTTGAAATTTTCGTCCAACGGCAAGCGAAAAATATAATAGTCCTTTTCCGAACATTGTCAATGAGTTTGTGAAAAGTTTAATTTCATGATAGCTCATATGAAATAGGCACTGCCTAAGAATGGGGAAAATGAATCAATATTTTGTCATTGATGTAATAAAAAAGAATCAAGAAAATTCCAACATGGCAACACAATCATAATTCAAACTCAAATTATATAAATCTTTGCAAAATTTGAACAAAAGAAAGATTTACAAGGCGATAAGACCAGGTAATCCGGGAGAGTTAGCGTCTTCTGCTTCATCGACAACACCCGCGATGTAAACCTTGGTCAATCCAAGTAAGTAGTGTAACGTTTTCAAATGAGAATAAGGTATACAACAACGGAACCAACATAATTAATGAGCATCAAATACGTCCAGCTTCGTGCCGCACGAAGAAATATGACAACTCTCAATGAGATCACTATGGCGATCATAAAACTTCTCATAATTTTCTAATTTTCATCAACCTGCATCATTTGAATTCTTGTGTTACGAGTTTGTCAGTCAGTTGACGACTTCTTGCACGACAATCGTGATCATGTGAACTGTCCGTTGAATAACGAATCAGCTGTGACATGTAAATACCATAGGTTGGAGATGCAGAGATGTTGCTATCCAGAAAAGGAAAATTCACAATAGGGAAATTAAAATCATCACATTTATCAAACAGCTTGACGGAAAGCTGTCCATATTGGTTTCGTTGTAGGAAAAGTTCAAGATAAGCTGCTGATATGGAAGATGTAGCAAGTACATTTCTTGTGATTTATCTTTTCAACAAAAAATAAAGAATTTAACATTAGGGGTAGACAAGTAGATCACAGAACACTACATGGGCAATCTTTACTGGGTGGTTGGATACTAAAATCAGAATCTGTTGATAATATTATGAATCAGCTGCATTTTTGACGCGTAGTAATGCGATAGTGTTGATTGCGGGACGCTTTTCAACACTTTTGGTAATGGTTTAAAGAATTTTCTTGTGCTTTTAAACTTACCCTTTTCGTTCACTGATTGTCTGATGATCAGCTTCTCCATATCTACTAGCCGAAGCTGCTCTCTTGGTAGTCCCTCCCTCCAATGGGTTATCGTCCTTTGCTGTATGGCACGACTCCCTGTGTTACTAAAAGATTGTACAAAAGACAAATGAACAACACATTTTAATACAATTTCAGAATAAGATAGATACAATCCATTGATGAGTTGAATTGCCTTATACAGCTCTTTCGACCTAGAAGATTTAGGAATATCTAAGGTGATCAAAAGAAATGTCATAATCTAGTTTTGGTCCCAAAATTTAATAAATTTTGTTGTACCATATGTCTGATGATAATCAAAACGCAATCAGTAGGTTACGACAACCTCGGGAACTAAGTCTGCGTGCAGTGTCAACGATAGAATGTAAACTAAGGAACATTGACGTTGAATTGAAATAAATAATATTGTTTAGTAGAACATGTTAATGATATCACTCAGGGTAATGTTAATTATAATTAAACTTTCAGTCTGATCCCATGTTTCATGAAAAACATAGTCGCTTGGCCGATTTTAGAGGGACTTTCGCGAGATGTCAGCTTGACCTCATATGGAAATATTATATTTACTTGTGCAATATGAAGGTGGGCGTTATTCATGATCATTACTATTATCAATGATTCCTAGCTTTTTCCCTATTTGTGAAAGTGACACTACGTACTTTGATTTAACCATATTCACCTGGCGAGTGTCGTTGTAGTCTTCGAAATCTTCCTTTTGTTCAAATGTTATAATTTCGTCGAACTGAGTTTGACTTAGGATTTAGTCGCCATGTAAATATTTTCTTTGTTTTTAATCATCTTATAATGCTGAAATTGATGTTTGCTGATGGAATGCTAATAATTGCAAACGTTATATGAGATATCGTGATGATACATATATCTTGTATATTTTGACATCTGAGCTTAGTGTCACCAGTAATTATACCTGAGAAAAAGGAAAGTGCTTCTCCTGTAGTTAACGCCATTCAAGTCTTCGTAAAAGTCGAGGTATGGCTTGATCACGTCCAGGAGACCGGCAGGCATTTTATCTATCTCGTCAAATATGAACATTGAGCGTTCACATTTAGATACACTCTTTTCTATTTTCTCCTTTAGTTCCTCCTGATATAAAATGATTGAAGGAATAGCTATAATTATGCATTTCTCCCCAAACATTGCTACTCTGATATCAGCGACAATACATGTATTAAATAACTATATTGTTATCATTGTCGTAACATTTATTAAATGATCAATACTTCAGAAACATTATGGCAAGCATTACATTACTATCCTGTTATTAGTATAACACTATTTATATATACTAAACAAAAAAGAAAGGTAACACTAGTTTATTCTGTGATTAATTAATTAACCCCTTCAGAAATCCTTACCAATCATGTACGAATAAAGTAATTGATCAATTCTGATAAAACTGCAGTCATGGTTCATTATAAAACTTTGCGTTCAGTTGATTTTATTCGACTGTAAAGGACGTTGGGGTCAATTTCAAAGGTAACACCATTAGTAACGGGTATGGCAACCGTTTGCGAAGTAAACAGCATTGCAGCGTCGTCGCATGGAACTCGTAAACCGGCGGATAATTCGAGGAGAGATGTTGTTCCATTCAGCGATCAAGGCTTGGGCCAGCTCCTGCAAGTTTGACGGCTGATTTTGACGTTCTCTCACCCGTCGCCCAAGAACGTCCCAGACATGCTCAATCGGTGACAAATCAGGTGATTTAGATGGCCAATCTAACACCTGTACGTTTTTCTGCTGCAAGAAAGTTCTGCTGACGCGACTGGTGTGCGCTGGTGCGTTATCGAATGCCGGTTAAATTGCCATTGAACACAACAAGCCTGGTACGAGTCCCCCACAAATACCACCCCAAACCATTACACTTCCGCCGCCAAAGCCGGTCCCGTTCTGCGACCCAACAGTCCGCAAAACGCTCCCCTCGTCGCCTCTACACTCTGCGCCTTCCGTCACCGTGTTGCAGACAAAACCTGGACTCATCTGAAAACAGAACATTGTTCCATTGACGTAAGGCCCAACGACGGTGAACACGGGTCCAGTTACGACGATTATTACGGCGACGTCGCAACAAATTGGGTTCAGTGTAGGGACGCCGCGCTTTCAATTGGTAGGCCCTTAACCTGTTGCGGACTGTTTGGGGAGACACATGACGCCCAAACAATATCCTTGTAGTCTCTACTGCGGTTACGAATCGATTGCGCAAGTGTATCAATCGTATACGACGGTCATCCCTGGCGGTCGTTTTACGGGGTCGGCCGCTTCGTGGACGATCGGATGTTGACCCAGTTTGGATTAAACGACTTACCAACTGGCAAATTGTCTTAATACTGCAACCAAAATTCCGTGCAACTCGACGGCAAGACTCCCCAGCCTGGATCATGCCTACAGCCCTTTCTCTCTGTACTTGTGACAGCCGGGGCATAATGATAAAGTTGATAGATAGCAAGATTCGGTGATTTCTAAGTCCTAAGGATCTAAGGAACAGTTGTCAGTTTGAATGTTTATGAAATTCAAGCGAAGATACAAGTTAGTCGCAGAAAACCTCGTGCAGCTCTTTCGCTAATACAGACTTTCACGCTTGAATGATCTTGGTAACCCTCTTGGATTTCTAATATTGCACAAACGTCATTTTGTTTTCACTCATTTACAGGTATTCGCCAAGGAAACATATCAACCTTTCTTTTTTTGTTGAGTATATATATATATATTTATGTACCATGTCATTGTCTTAATTAATAACAATAATAGACTTTGTTTCTTTTCGATTGCACATTGAGTCAGTGACTCGCAATGATTTATAACATAATTAAGGAACATACAATAAGTGCATTGAATAAAAATTGATAGCAAAGCTGAAACAAATATATCACAGTATAAGAGATTCAGTCATAGTTAGTAAGTCACGTGTGTGTTCTTAAAATAACTAATATAAGTAAAGCATACATAAGTAATAGTTTTGCGCTATAATATGATTTATGAACTCATTAATAATGTAATTTGCAATATGCCAAGGGATATAAGGGTTACAGGCTATATCACTAGTAAGAGAATTTAGACCCAAGATTTCGTTATTATTATAAGATACACAAGTGACATACCATTTACATCAAGTACATGTATTACAGCATATATAACTGAAAATCACTTTTATTTCGCGTGGTATTTATTTTCGTCTGAATACACGAGGAGAGCCTATTGCGAATTAAAATCTCTCGTGATTAAATTACAAATCTCTTGATGATACCCTTGTTATTTCGCCATTGGCTTGCTTTTACTTCCGTTTACACTTACATTAAATTTATATATACCCCATCATATTATTAGAAAAAAATCTGCTTGAAAAAAATACTTCTTTCAATTCGAACATCTGCACTCTGTACTTTTAAACCACATCCCCTGATTACTGGTTGTAGAACTTCACAAAATTGCGTCATTGAAATGTACAACTATAGTTCAAAGTGTGCACGTGTGCTCCGATGCTATTTTTGTGTTGGAAAAGTGCTAAAATATTCATAACAGAATTTATAACATGCATAATATATTTTATTGATTACAAAATAAACAGTAGTAAAAAGTATTAAAACCGTCGAAGACGTTATACCATTGGGACGACTTCTGTATAAACTTGATTATAACGTCAAACACTGCATAATATCTCTGGCTATATGTCTAAATTAAATCTAAAAATACAAGCGTCAGGAAAGTTAAAAACTGCACGTGCAAATGTTGGGAAATTTCCCTAGGGATTTGTGAAGGTCGATTGGTCATATGGGGATTAGTAATGACAGGAAATTTGAAATACCTTGCGAGGTTGTGGATGATACTGGACAAATTCATTCTGATAAAGACATTGTTTTAAACAAATTGTGAAAAAACTTTGAAAATTTATATTAAATATGGAACAGTACATGATGTGAAGTACAACCCAAGCAATGCTTGGTGAGGCAAAAGTGCAAAGTTACACAAAGCTGCAGGCGTAAATGAACTATCAGCAGAGGTGTTAAAAATAATACGGCAATGGAGTTACGTTATAAAATATGCGACTGGTGTTTCGAATTGGGTCATGTGCCTACAGATTTGACCTCTTTTATTATAGATCAAGTATATAAACCTTACTCCAATGAATACCGTTAAACTACAGAAGAATCTCCGTCCCCTGCTAAGTATACTGTAATGTACTCGGTGCAAGGCTAACCAAATGGATGGGGTCCTCTGCCCTACTATGCGATGAACAAAATGGTTTTCGTAAAGGACGCAGCTGTGAAGATCATATCTTCTCGTTGTACCCTGCAATACATGCAAGGACAATTAACGCATTATCTACGTACGTGCGTTTCATCCAATGGAGTTAATGGCAAATTTCTACCATCAGTTCAGTCTCTGTACGAGGATGTTAGGTGAGAGTAAACAATAATGACACCCCATGGTTCAGGATGGATTCCGTGGTAAAATAGGGGTGTTATTTCTCCTCGAGTATGTTTTCATTAAAATTTAATGACCTGGCACAAACAGTTAACAACGTCCAATGTGGTATACAGATAGATGACACCATGTTATCTATTTTACACAGATGATATTGCCATCATGGCTCTAGATCCGAACAAACTCCAGACTCTGCCTAGTGCTGTATCTAAATGGTGTAAGGACAGGAAACTAAGAGTAAATCCGTCCAAAACTAAAGTAGTTCATGTTTGGAACCCTTCTACCAAGAAAACCGTTTCAACTGTGGTTTATGTGATGATGAAACCATTCGTATAAATACTTAGGAAATTGGTTAGGCTGTGACAGAATTATCTTATCGATAACTAGGAGTGTTAATAGGAAAAATATTTCATCTGGTGGTATGACATACGATGTGTTTATATGTCTCTATAACTCAGTTGTAGAACTAGTACTTATGTACGGCAGTGCTATATGGGGAACGAAGATGCATTCTTTTAGGGTTAGGGTTGGAAAATATATCTCCAATATTGCTACCAAGGTGATATGGGTTTGCGTTCGTGTCTATATAAACAGAATGTCTCGTGTGTGAAACTATTGTGTAAAATCCGTAGACTCAAAGATCATCGGCTGCAGAGCAAAATAATGGAATGGTCGTCTCGACAACGTATGTGTGACGATACAGACACAGATAAATTCATATCCAATTTAAACCTTTCATCAAAATTCGTAGCAAAAAAGTCTTACCGAAATTATCATTAAAAGATAGTCGTGAATGGCAAGCTCAGGTACATGACGACCTAATGATACAAGCTTCGTACGTATAAACAGTTCATGAATGACATTTTTGTCGAATGTTACGTCCGAATCGACATACCAAGACATCATAGACGTAACATTGGCCTTTTTCGTGCAGGCTCGCTCCCTCTGACCGTTGAGACGGGACGATACACCAGACCGCCTGTTCAACTAATGGACAGACATTATTCTAAATGTGACCAGCATAAAGAGGAGGATGGAAACATTTTTCTTACAGAATGCAATTTATATGATGACACAGAAACAGTTTGTTCTAAAAATGTTCTTCTGTCATTGACGGTTTCAATAACATGAACAAGGATAATAAACTATAAGGGAAAATGGTGATTTCCAGACAACAATTGCAAGCTTTGTTACGCTTTTCTTCAAAACAGGAAAACTTTTTTTCTTTAAACTTAATTATTAATCAGTAACTGTAAGTTACACTAGTATATGTGACGATGGGCATTTCTACCTTTGGTAGTCTTAGTAGGACACACTGATAAAATAGAATAGTAAGATTAATCAATAATTGTAAGTTTCACTAGTATATATATACTCAACAAAAAAAGAAAGGTTACTTGATGTAAATGGTATGTCACTTGTGTATCTTATAATAATAACGAAATCTTGGGTCTAAATTCTCTTACTAGTGATATAGCCTGTAACCCTTATATCCCTTGGCATATTGCAAATTACATTATTAATGAGTTCATAAATCATATTATAGAGCAAAACTATTACTTATGTATGCTTTACTTATATTAGTTATTTTAAGAACACACACGTGACTTACTAACTATGACTGAATCTCTTATACTGTGATATATTTGTTTCAGCTTTGCTAT